TTCAAATGATTGGAATGAACTTACTATTAAAGTAATGAATGAAATGTGTTATTAATCATTTCTAATATAACTAAAACCAAAACTTTTAAAACTAAAATTCTAATTTAAAACATGATCCGGATATAATATAGGCCTAACCAGGGCCCAATAAACACATGGAAGCCCAAGCCCATAAAGGACCTGGAACAAGGCATAAAAGACAGGCACGGGACGCGATAACCCTATCGCGTCACACCAGCGCGATGTCCATATCGCGGAACACCAGGCGCGATAGTCCCATCGCGTCATACACGGCGCAGTGCCTCATCACAGCATGCAGGATATACTTACTCCCCACGCAACGGGATACCTTCTACAGACAGTAAACTTAAGGGCCAAGGCAACACACCACCACGCCCTCACACCAGTAAGCAATGGACAGCTCCAGCTCGCCACAACTCTACTAATAGACACCATGGCGGCAAGCTCCTCAACATTTAAACCATGACAGCCACACTACGTTGGCACCAAGGAACCTTTGCCTTCACCATGAAGAAAGGTCTCCTCCAAACACACATCTTGATTACTATATAAACATACGTTGTGCCACCAAGGTACGATTATCCTTTACTTTCACAACATAAACACCTGCCTTTGATACTGACTTGAGCGTCGGAGTGTCTTCGCAGGTACCCCCATCCGGTGCAACGTGAAGGACGAAGGACAAATAGCTCAGGCTCATCCCACATCAACAGTACCAGGCCCATGCCAGTTACCATCTAAGGAGTTTCAACCGTGTGTGATTTGGGCTTGATACGCATTGGGCCATCCCTACCGTATCTGGTCCGATCAAAACATTTATTTATTTTCCTTACTTTCAGATATAGTAGATCTAAATATTAAAATAAGTTCAAATATTATTGTAATTATAGTGTTAATTAGTATATTTTCTATATGGATAAAAGATTATTACTTATGTGCTAAAAAATTAGGAGACAAAGGGAACGCAATAAAAACAAGTGAACCTTTCTCATAAAAATTTATAATAAACTAAGAAAAATACTAAAGAAGACCAAACAAATTAACCAGAACTCATACTAGACAATGTCATTTTCTTAAAATAAATAATAATAACAATATTATATATTTTTAAAGTAAAATTAGCTTTTTTTTCTTGAATGTTTCAAAACAAGAATATATTTTCCATCACATTAGCTTGGCTTGCTGAAAGATGATGGAAGAAGACGTCGATGAAGAATGAAGGAAGATGGGACTGTTATCAATATCGGTGTCTCCTTCTGTTTGTTCTTATTTCGATATTCTTTTGTTATCAATTTTAACATGGCTTTTTATGTTGAAGTCTCTTATCAGCACTGATCTAAATGGGCTAGGCTGGCGGTCTAGCCTATAATAGGTCAGACTTGACCTAATATAAATCATAAAATAGAACATACTTAAGTTTTTTAAAAAATGTATTTAGAAAATAGGTTATAGGTTTTTTCACGCATGTCGGGCCTATAAGATTACAGGCCGACCTATATCATATTATTTATTTTAAATAAAATTATTATTTTAATAATTTTGAATAATAAAGTAATGTTATTTTAGTTATTCTTTTAATTGTTGAATGTTTAATAGGCTTAAACAGTCTTAGGCCAAGACTTTTATTTTCTAAATATAGGTCTGATCAGACTTGTAATTTGAGACCTGATCTGGATAAGTATTATACAAATACAAGGCCCAGAAAAGCCTTAGTCCAAGAAGGCTGCAAGCTCCATAATATTAAAAGCACCATGACAGACACCGAACTCCACAAGCTGCTATCTTATCTATAACAGCAAGCTCCATGACAGCCATCAAGCTGCACAATATTAATGGCCTTATCTCATCAAGCTCCTCAACATTAAACATGGCAGCTCTAATACTTTGGCACCAAGACAAGCAAGCTGCATCTTATCCCAGCCACCCACAAGAACCAATAGAGAGGAACCTTTGCCTTCACTGTGAAGAAAGACACCCTCCAAGCTGCACATCTCTCCACTATAAATACATGTATCAACCCTAAGGTACATCATCTTCTCCTACATAATTAAACCTGCTTGAACCAAATCTGACTTGAGCGTCAGAGTGTCTTGCAGGTACACCCCCCCATCGCGTTCCATTGAAGACCCATGGGATAAAGCGGCCCAATTGCAAGATGCTCTGACTCAAGATGGACGGTTCCAGGCTGTGTAGAGGAAGATCACATGATCGGCCCAGTTGTAAAGATCTGTTCCGATCAGGACCTATATAGACTAACAGGCTAGGACAGACCCAATTTATTTTATACGACCTATTTAAGTCAAAGCTTAATCTAACCTAATTCATTTACATCCTAATGACCCGTAAAAGGGAGGTAAGGGAAGAGAGCTAAGTCCCGCATCCATTAAAGGCGAGACTAAATGTATTAGGTTGAAATATAATTTCAAAATTACATTGAATTCATAATTTTTTTAATCAAACGCATTAGTGCGGTCGACTCACCAGTAGTGGCTAAAGACCTTGAATGTAAGGAAGGTGAGACTTCTTGCAATTCTTGAGGTTCTTAGCATAGCTACTACTTTTGTTTTTATGTTTTAAACTTCATGTTTATGCATCCATTCTGATTTATCAACTCGCCTCTACGTTCTAGGTTTCTGTTGTGTGTTTATCTATCCTTAGTCAATTGAATTATTATTATTATTACTATTTTTTGTCTATTTCTAATTTTTATATGGCACTGAAGTTTGAACATGTGAAAAATATTTTCGATACTTTGTCCTACCGAGTAGTGAGTAGTCAGTACATCATTTACTAAATATAGCAAAAAATAACACTTTTACATTACTTTCATCTCTATAGTTATTTCCACCCATTTTTCCTTTTTAGGCAAAGGAGTACGTACCCGCATCGAAAATAAGCTTCAAACCTGTGACCTCATACAAATTATCCAAATCTTTCTTCCTCTTTTTTGTTTATTTCTGAAGGGTTTCATTTTTCTGCAGCTATGGCAGAAAGATTTATACATATTCATCACGATCCGACGTCTTTTTAAAAAAAAAGAATCAATGTTAGATCATGATAAATATGTGTATGTGACAGACAAAATATTTATGTCGCAGAGGCAAAAATACTTTTGCCTTTTCTAAATACTTTTGACATCTGACACATTAGCGTTATACTGTTGTAATTTACCCGATCACTACTACACACGCAAGCACAAAATAAGAGATAAAAAAATGCTTTGGTTAATGGGCTTTATTTGTCGATTCTCACTAATACTATTTTGGGAGGGGTTTAAAGCCTTAATTTCAGAACCTGCCACGAATTGAACTAGTCGTGAAGCGATAAACCAATTGGAATATCTCCAAAAAAAAGGGATTTAAAGCCTTAGTTTCAGGACCTGCCAAGAATTGAACTAGTCGTTAAGTGATAAACCAATTGGAATATCTCAAAAAAAAAAAAAAATGTAGCAATTGTAAACTTTTCAAGCAGTTAAATGGTCAAAACCTGCAGAGTATTTAACATTGCTGCTTAAGCCTATAGTAACTAGGCAAGTTTACTTTTGATGTGTAAGGGATTTATTTTACATGTGAAATATCATAAGACGGCTTATGTGTTGTTGGCACTTGGTATTTGGATCATGTTCCCTAGATAAAAATAATGACACTGAGTGAAGGTCAAGATGCATAAGTGACTTCGAAGCAATGAAGAAAATTCGGAAAACAAAATATTTATATTTTCCTTTTATTTTTTTCTTTCTTTCACTTGATATATTTGTTTTACTAGATACTTTCGAATTTACGCGTAATGAGTGGTATCGTACGAGTTCATCCAGTGGAGATTGAGTCTGAAATGTTTGGTTTATAGGAAAAAATATCCAAGACCCATCAGAGTTGGAATTTGAGGAAAGGCCATCAACAGATGGAACATGGTGAGTCGATATCCACTATTGCAGTTGGCTTAGATTCTTGGATTAATTTATGAGTTCTGGTGGCATGGATATGAAATATTTATATTTTAATCTCACTGCAATATTCATCTATACCTTTCTGAAGGAAAAGCATTCTCTTGTAGCCTTTCCCAATGGCGAAATCCCACGTGCAGATATCCATCCAAACAATATTAAACCCATGACGCCATGTTTACCATGCATCAGTTATAGGTCCTTCATCATAGATCATATTATATCCACAAGGCATGCATTTATATTTTTATTTTAGTAAAGGCTGATTGAATTTGATTCAACGCTGTCTTTGGCCCATATAAGTAATAAACCTTCAGTTCATTGAGTAATGGAATTTAATATGTAAATTAAATAAGATGCACCACGGTCAACTATGCACGCCTTTTATTTTTATTTTTTTTCTGAGGTATAGCTTTCTTGTAGGCCTAAAAGGGGAATGGATGATTTAACAATAATGAATAGTTTTCATAAATTTACGGAGCTGCTACACTATTAAAATTTGTACAATTTGCGAATGGTTCTCCATGCAGATATACAGACAGTATTTGTGACCATTCTCTTGAAGCATTCTTCACTAATTTCATTTGTCTGAAGGTCAGGCTTTTCTGCAGGTATGATGTTGAGATGTTTCTAGCTCACAGGATTCTTAACACAGGCAAAGAAGTTCCAAATGTCACGAGCTCCAAATCCAACAAATCAGATGCAGATTTCCTTTGGGCTTTAGGCAGAGGAGAAATTTTTTTTTTTTTCCGGAATCTCGATTTTCAAAAATATAATTTTTATATTCAATTTAGATAATATCCAGAAATTTAAAATTTAAAAAAATTCAATTTCCTGGAAATTCGGCCAAAATCCTTGTACCAAACGCCCATAAGCTTGGCAGAAACCCACGAAAACCACGAGGTCACAAGGCAGCAACCCTGTTGCCAAGATTCCTTCAAAAACAAAATTTTGCCATGATTATTTTTGGCAAACTTGCTATATGTTTCATATTAAATTATTTTACGGTGCCTTCAAAATATCAGAGAAACACAATTCTACATTTTATTACGTTACCAAAAGCAGGACCATTAAAGCACAAATGAAATATCAAAACAATTGAACATGAACCCCAGCCAACATTCAAGAATTACCCATACCAACATTACACCTCCTAATGGAGGCAAATCTATTGAACCTCAAACACAATGAAAACTAGCTGATATTGATTGCATATTCAAAATATGGTAGTTTTCTGACAATTTAAAATATCTCAAATTGAAGTTAGCTTCAGATCCAAAAGCTCCATTTCCTTGAACAGCTTTCACCAAAATATGGGTTGCTCCAAAATCATAATCACGGTATGAACCAACATGTACAAATCTCCGAGTTACCACAGCCATTGCCACTGAACTTGAATTAAGTATCCAAAGAACCTTAGATTTTATTGAGAGAGAAATGTGAATAAAATAACAGATAACGAGATAAACAAGCAAAGAAAACAATTACCACCTGTCAGGAACTGAAACTCTGTGCCGTCAGGCCAAATGAACATCAAATGTTTCATCGATATAAAGGCATATCTAGATCAAAGTACGCAAACATTTCAGCTGCACAATATATCAGAGATTTAAATAACAATAGTTGCAGAATCAAATACCTGCTCCAGATGTTATGGTAAACTCGGGATATACAAGTCAATAATGATCAGGCACAAAAAAAGTGTAAACAGTATCACAACAGCTGAGCTTCCGAGATTGCCAACTGCTCATCAGAATAAAGAATGAATTCCGCCATGCATAATTGTAGAAACAATTAACAAAATTAGCACCCAGTCATTTAGAATGACTGACCAGGAGACAATGCAGATTTTCGATACTATGAGAAAAATGCGGTTAGAACAATGAAGCGATGTAATTGCCAGAGTCACATAAGCAGCAGATAGATGGCTATCATTTGCAATACCTAGAAAGTGAGCATGCTCACATGGCTCCTCTCTTAAAACAATCATATGCTACAAAGAATGACACCTGTAGATACCATACTCTTCCAAACTAAAGCTTTTGTGGTAAAGTTTAAATAATTCATGTTCACCCAAAAGAGATTTATATAAATTTACATTCTGAGAGCAAAACAAAATTGTCAAAAGCACAGCATCAAAATAAAAGTTGAGCATGATCACTACCCTGTTTACATTTAATGAGATGAACCCGGAAAGAAAGAAAGGAAGAAAGAATTGGAAGTAACTACAGGCCTACAGCAACAAAAGCATTTTCCTGCTAGGGTGGCTTCTACATAAATAAAATGATGGCATTGTGGTCTGTCAAAAACCAAGTTGAATGTAACTGAATATAAAAATATAATTATCACGAAAAAAAAATACTGTGATTACAAAAGTTAAATAGTTACATACTGCTCCCAGAGTCTGTTTTTCCATCTTTAAGGTTACGGTCAAACTCAAGACATCCAAGAGGCCAGAAGTAGTTTAAGTCAAAAGAGAAAAGAGGTTTAAGTACAAGGTTGTGCAGCTCAAAATATCCAGTTCTCACTGGAAGTTGCATATTTGCAAAATACTATCAATAATAAAAGCCTAGCCTGCAAACATGCCTTCAACACAGTAATTATTGTTCAAATCTCTACAAACTTACTATCAGAAGACTCATCTCAATAGACAATAAAGGTCTAAATTTGCTCATAAGCATTATGATACAGTTGAATACAGTGCACAGGTATTGCATCATACGATAAGTGATGGAGACCATAAAGAAAGGTTTAGCATACATCAATGCTGAACTGCTTTGTTCAAAGAACTTGTAAGAGAGAGGATCTCCAGTTCCCAGAGTGGAAGATGTAAGAGCAGGCAGTATGATGCGAGAAATCAAAATGATGTAAAGCTGAAATTTCAAACAACTTCATAGTTCATGAAACTGTTCTCCCATAGCAAATAGATGCAATATAGAGGTTCTTTGCCCATTTTTCCTGCATAAACGATATCTCAACTATAAGTATTTGTGATCAGAAATGAAAGCGGTTAGAGCAAAATTAGGTTTAGTATTTACCTTGACATGAGTACCAGGAAAGTCAGATGTACGGAGTGTCTCTTGAGTTTCATCAGCTGGTTTTCTTCTTGGAACACTAAGAACCAAAGCAGCTTGGTCCCATGTAGCAGCAGTTGAAGTGATCCGGTAACCATTGTCCCACCTTCGATGAATACCTTCACTAGGATACAGGAAATCAAGTTCCACAACCTGGAATTGATTTTAGAAAGAAAAACAAAGATAAATCACATGGTTTTTCAATAGAACTAATAATTTTAATTAAAAAATATTTTAAAAGAAATAGTAAAACCTGGTCTGAAAATCCAGCACCACGGGACATAACAATTGCCCATCTATTTCCAGCAGTGGCCATAGCAGTGACGTAAAATCCTTCTCTCCATTTCTTGTTGATCCACTTGAACGGAAATGAATCACTCACTTTATAGGATTGCTGTAAATATTGGGTCCCTAAAACCAACAAACCACCAAAAGAAGTGAGACACAACAATATAAACACAATAAAACCGGCCAAAGTATGCAAACAGGTCCTTAAAACAGTAAAGTCAACTATTGCCACCAAAATACCCAAGCCTGAAGAATAGAGCTTCAAGGACTTACCTTTGGACATTACAACCAACGAGCTCCCATTATTAGCTCCTGCTATGGCACTAATGTAATAATTATTTTCCCACTGTTCCATAATCCATTCCTATGAAAATAATAGTAGTTATATTAGTTTTTCAACCTGCATTAAGTTCAAATACAATACAGAATACGCTATAACAAATATAAACTTAATATAGGTAACATCAAACACAATGCCACAACTTCCTAACAGTATTAAACTAAAGGACAACTCAACCTTGGGAAGAAAGTAGGATGAGAGTTGATGAACTTGTGCAGTGAAACCAGTGCCAGCATCCATAATAAGTGCCCAAAGGTTAGAACAACAAGCTACACTGCTGATAAGTAGTACATCCTCATATCCCTTCTCAATGTGTTGGGATAGCCGGACATCAGCAACATTGTAATGGTACCTAAACAATAAATAAATAAATAAATAAAATACTTAAACTCTGAGCATTTTAATATCAAATGCAAAGACTTATTTAATTTCAGAAGGAAACCTTTGTTTCATTGGTCGGCGAGCATTGTACACACTAATCCATTGTGTTGCTGGCATTCCCATTCTGACCTTCTTTTTTGGTTGGTTATCATCATCCTCTTCCACGGTCAATCTTCCTCTCTTATGTCCAACCTGATATATAAGCTTCACAGCACAAACCAAAAAAATAGCACAACGCTCAGCCGTTATCTGAAAAACAGTAAACAGTAAAATATTGAAGCAATAGCATATTTAATACCTTCTGAGCACCATCTGTGTTTATTGGTCTGATGTCTGGATTTGGACCAACAATTCCATCGAAAAGTGGTATATATTTTGCATAATTTGGTTCTTCATCAAACTTCAAATTCACTATGTACTCAGCAAACTGCCGAAAAGGTGGAGGACAAAGGGAACATAAAGTTCCTGGGGGGGTAGCCATCTTCTTCTTGCAGACAAGAAAACCTTTATTTTCTCCCTGCAAAAAACAATTTTATTAGAATGACACATTTTTATTTATTATTAACACTAAATTGACTATATTTGAAAGACAACCTGATATCCTTGCCAAGGTAGCCGGCCACGAAGAAGGAAGATTAGCGTGTAAGCCAGAGATTCCAAATCATCTCTCCTGCTACCTGTTCTCCCAAGATGAGCATGCACACTAGCATATCGAACTGTTCCCCTATGGCAAGAATGGTATGCAAGATGCAAATCAAACAGAAGCCTGGATTTCGCTAACGAAGTTTATAACAAAATTAAATATGCATATAAAATACCTAAATACATCTGGACGTTGATCGTACTCAACATGAAGGCCAGTTGAAGTATCACGCCAATGGGTTGCTGCAAGGTAAAAGAGGAGAGAAAGCATAGACAAATTATGAGAAATTAGGCAAATCTTTAAATGAAAGTGGAAGTACCAAAGCTTCAACGATGAGATGGTATATTTACCTAATCCAAGATCAACCAGAAACAGCTTTTTTTCATCAGGAGTTCCGGGGGGGCCAAGCAAGAAATTCTCAGGTTTTACATCACCATGCACATAACTGAAAAATATCAGCAACATGATGAGATTCTTTATAACAATGAGATTGATACCGTTAGAATCTTAAGTTACGGTTATGGGTCTTATTATATTATAATTCAACATTAGTACTTGACCTAATTATTAGTATAAATATGTGCTAGTGGTTTGTATCTACCCCAAATCCATTACATCCCATATCAATCTAATCTCATATTATTTGCAGTCACTTTTCTCCTTTCACTCCTTTTCCACCAAAATCCTTATAATTTCAACAAATATAATACAATCCTTTGTGCAGTAAAAGTCATTCAAAATTTATATATACTGATGGTACAGTTTTAACTTACAAGATTATGGTTTGAAAAATGGTTTGAGAAAACAATAATCTTTATCTAGGAGGTATACACACTAATTATAAATAAAAAGAGTCCCCTCCCCGTCCCACACATAAGAGAAATTCAGTTATACAGTGAAAGAAAACAAGACACTAGGAGCTGTCTAGAGGTGAGGGGTTTCGTAGTTTGCAGGAGATCATACTCATAGTTTCAAACATTCAAGTTGCCATTGTACCAAAACACAGTGAAAGGAAACTAACATAAAATCTAAATATCCAATTTATTTTCATATAAATGCTACTCAACCAGAGGTATAAAACACATTGCTCTTTCTATGTCACCAAAAGGAAATAACAAATTATTGGTCATGCTTTTCTCACAAGCTAAAGATAGAGAAAACCTAAATAACTGCATAAGGTGAGACCGGTCAGGCCACTGACATAGCCAAAACGTCCTAATATGGATCAGGGATTTATATTGCAGACCGCTTCACGTGATGGGCCGCAGCATCTCGGTTATGGTGGCCGTCGCAACTGTATCAGGCCATGATTGTGGACTGTATCAGCTGCAACAGCCACAATACAACCATGACTGCAACCCCAATTTAAAACCCTGATATGGATTAATCTAGCATTCTGGACTATATCCAATCCATTCAACAAAAGAAAAGCCAGACATATATCATAAGCAGAATCAAGAAAAAGAGAATCACCCTCGAGAATGTATCTTCTCTAATATGGAGATAGCCTCAATTGCTATACACGCCACCATTTCAACAGACATCCTAAAGCCACAAAAGAGAAAAATAAAGTTAGATATACAATATTCATTACAACATCAACAAAATAAGACGCATCACGTTTAACTAACATTTTAAGTCTCAGAGAGAAACTTACAAGTGTGAGTTGTTATTCCATACATCCCATAGACTGGGGCCAAGCATATCCATGACCTGTAATGCAATGTCAGGTTACAAAAACATTAAAAAAGAAACGAAAACAAACCCCCAATCCCTCTATCAAAGAATTTCTTTCTCAACACATACCATAACATAGTAATCACCTTGCCGCCCCTTGTAATGAACTCGTGGAACACCATGACTACCACCTAATGAACTATTTGAAAAAATAAAAAAATAAAAAAGAAGAAAGAAAAGAAAAACAATTAAAATTTAAGCAAGACTTCCGCAGCCAGAGGAAAGAAAAGATGACTCACTCACTTGTAAACCTGCCACTCATGAGGAGGTCCAGAATTACACCCCTTACTCTTTCTATGCTCAAACTTTAAAGCTATCTGCAATTATTGCAAAAACAATGTGAATAATAAAGAATCAAACATGTATCTAAGCACAAACAATGTGAATACACACACTAATGCCAAACCTCTACGGCTCCGGCACCGGCTCCGATGCGCCGACCAACGTAAACTTGTCCAAACCCTCCCTTCCCAAGTTTTCTCTGTACTCTGTATAACGGAGAACCACCTACCTGTACCTGTTACCAAGAAACCAAAAAACAAAAAAAAAAACCAAAAAAAAAACTAAAATTAAATTTAAATTTCCAATATGTAACAAAAGAATACTTGGTTTATAATAACAAGATCAAGAACAAGAACAAGAACCTTCTCGGGAATGGGAGCTGTGCTTCCTTCGTCTTCGGCTGCCGGAGCCTTGTCGGCGCTCCGGCCACCGCTGTCGTGGTTGTCATCCATGGCTTCTTCTTTCTTTTCCTCTCTGGAAACCCTAGGCGGAGGCGCGTCTTCTTGTTATTCAAAAGATGGTGATCGGTTTCGTAACAAACGTATCGTCTTCCGATTTCTCGTGGTGTGCGCGGCGGTGGTTGTTCTTCTTCTCCTCTGGCGCGTTCTTAGCAGTGCCGGTTTGTCAGGTAGGGTAATCGGATTCGGGTACGGGTTTGAGTATGGGTTATGAAACGGTGCCGTTTGCTGTTAGGAAAGGCTTTTGTTGCCTTTAGAGCATGAAAGGGGAGAGCTCTATCAGTATGGGAAGAGTCATGAAGTTTCCAGAATAATCCGCAGGAATTCCACAATCTATGTAATGTACAGCGGAAAGTAGAAATGGAAGCAACAGAGAGGATTGAGCAAGCAAATCGCAAAGCGAAGACACCATCAACCAATCAAAACAAAAATATTCCAGGTATTTTGGGCAACGTAGCAGCACACGTACAAAAAAATAATGGGAAAAGTTCACGGATGGCTCTGTGATTTGCTTCAGAATTATCTATGTCCGTATAGTTTTTTTTATCATATATGTCTACGTGGTTTGCAAAAAAAGTATGTTTTTTATCACATATTTCTTGCGATGTGATATTGTTACTAGTAAATAATGTAATTATCAAATAATATTATTATTATATATTAACTGTTGATTTTTGTCAAAATCAATGATTATTATTTTCATAAATCAAACTTATTAATTAATTATTAATTAGCAATAAATAATAATCGTTGATTGGCTAAAATCAACGATTAAGATATGATAATAACAATATTTGATAATAAGAATATCCTATCCATATTTTTTTATATATAATGAAAAATAACATACGTTCATGTATCTTATTTTATTTTTTTTATTTAAGATACATTCATTTTAAAGAATGAGATTAGTATTTATTATATTATAGGAGATAATTTTATCTTTTCTTAAAATATTTCATCACTTCATCGATTCGGGACGGGTTCATGATTAAGGCTTTAAATTCCTCCCAAAGGTGATATGAAGATGATCGAACATATGCTCTTATACCGCTATACACAATTAAAATGTACGGAGCCTATAAAGTTTTTTCTTTTTCTCTTCTCTTCACATAGATCCATGTATACTTTTATGTATATCTTACTCATGAGAAATGTAACACCCCGTATATATCCGGTAATGTTATCATTATCGTATTAAGCTGCGCTTAATTAAAAATGCGGAATATCTTTTTCTTTTCAATTATGATGTCATTAAACATTACCAACTTGATTACTTAACCAATTTCAAAACATCGCATGTATGCACATTGCAATAAACAGCTAACTGAAATACCTCATTAATTAAATAACATAAGTATGAGTCTCTAGTCACGGAACTACAAAACGTAGACCGGACCATCTAACAGTTTATACAGCTCCAACTAAAAGTACTAACCACAAAGTGGCATGGACAAACCTCGTGCTCACTCAAACAAGGCAACAAAGCCCAACATCAGTCTCAACAACAGCAACATAAGCATATAAGTGCAGAAAACATAAACAGCATCCAAATCCAGCATTCATACAGGTTAGCATAACTAACAGCAATATCATCAACTAAGCTCTGGCCTCCTGCCGCCAGAGGCATCAGTCCCCATACTACCTGAACCTAAAATAAGCATTCCCCAAACGTGGTGTGAGATCTCTAAACAAGAAATCTCAGTAAGACAACGGGTCCTCAAGGATCTTCCACCCCAAGCTCACTTACATGTGCAATATAAGTTCAAAAGCAGTTTATCATCATCAGTTCTAAAATAGTGCAATGCAGCAGATAATCATGTCATGTGTGTCAATTCTATTCTACTGGCCAGAGAAATGCAGGATTTATATACGTCAAATACTCACACATAGTGCAAGACGCCACTTGCATCCACCCCGGATCACCGTCTTGTATGACGCCACATACTCAGGCTTACCGTCAAGATGGAACAACACATGCATATTAAAAGTCATTACACATAAAGCTCAACAACATTTCAAATATTCAAAGCATGTAACACAACATGCATATAACCATACTCCCATGGGACATGGTGGAACCACAACATGGCTAAACCGAGGACACGAAAGCTTACCTCTTAAGCAATCAATCCAAGTCAAGTCCACACAAGCTCAATGTCCAAACACAGCAGATCATAATCTGATTTAGGACCAGCAAGCATATCAACATTCATAGCTCAATAGCATAGACATAAAGACTACATTTTCCTTTTACGTTTTACGTCTTAAGGCTTCCCACAACACCATAAGTCATTAATCACTTGATTCTGACTTAGTCCAATTATTACAGAAGTTCAACTTCATCAATCTAGGGTCCACAAACCGCCAATAGCCTACTGTATGAACAGCACAACTACTGTTCTTCGAAATCCCAGAATATCCGGATATATGTCGGGGGCATGTCCGGATATCAATATCCGGATATCTCACTGGCAATATCGGGATATCCATATCCGGATACCCAGATCCCCATATTCGGATATCCATATCCGGATATCCATATCCGGATATCAATATCCGGATATTTATCGACCAAATATCTGGATATTTCGCGACAGAATGCAGTTTCTGCATTTCGCAAAGATATCCAACAAAGGTCTAACTTTTACCAATTAAATGCGTTCAAGACTCCATTTTTGGGTCTATACAGATTCATACACATGTTAGTTACTTGCTTAACCCATTAACATGCAAAGACATCACCTTTAAACCATTAAAACTCATGATCAAGGTTAGGTAACTCACCCCAAAGCTTAAAACAGAGAAAGGAGTGCTCTTGGAGCTCACCAACAGCTCCCCAAGACTGACTATACACAGAGCACGAAATGACACCTCCAAGGTTGGTTCCTTCTCACCAAAGGTCACCGCTTGGACCTCAAAATGCCTTAACCAAGGCTCACAACACTCAAACTTCAAACTCAGCCCTTGACCCAAACACACAGAGGCCAAAGACAGCAAAAGGAACACTCTTCCACCCCTACAAGGATCACACAAACAATGCACAAGTGTTTAGATGAAGGAACTAGCATCAAAGGTGATTACTTTGGCTACAAAGAGGTGAAGGAAGGCACAAGCACCAAGCACCAGCTGACCAGCCCCTCAAGAGTCACGTAGGATAGTGTATGGCCTAGGGTTTAGTGTAACATCCCCGTCTCGAGCCGGTTCAATTAACATGCGTATGATACAAACAGAAACAGCGGAAGACTAAACTTACGAAAATACGAGCTAACTTTTTCTTTTTCTAGTTTAATTCTTACTCAGTGGAAACGAAAATTGGGCAGAGTAACCTCTGTAAATCAGACATCCGGGGATTTTCCAATCCCACCCACAAGAGTTCCTGATAGAGAGTTTATACCAGATATCATTCCAGAAGTGCAGAAATCCAAATAAAGTCATATACCCATCCATGGGCGCATACATAACTTGGCTCCGTGCCACTAACCTAACAACATGCAATCCAATACATAAATATACTGAATACTACATAGTCATATCAACATGCCCGAATACTCAAATGTACATGCATCCAACTGAAAGACATGTACAAAACATATACAGGCCATATACAAAATAAAGGATCAGACATCATGATCACCAAATGAATAGAACACTATACAACAGTACATGTTTTTCAAAAATAACATCTATAATAAATAGTAGCCTCCGACTACCCAGAACTCCATATCCTCATACTAGTACCTCTAGCCACGGGTAGTGTCCTTGTCCCATGAGGGCTCTTCAATTAACTGTGTTCCTGAAATCATATCCCCAAACGGGGTTAGAGACGAATCTCTAGTAAGCTCCAGGTTTATAGAGAACTCTCCATACCCTGGGTTCACTTCCTGCATGACAGTCAGATACATAATATACAAAACATCACATAAGCAATTATCATAACTGTACAAAGCTTATATACATATCTTATCAAAGACATACGCAGTCATTCCCAAGGGATGATCCCAAGCGGAAATCAATGTACGTAACAAATATCATTTACAAAAATCATCACAATACTCACATCATAACAAAACGTGTTATATCAAAGACGTACGCAATCGTTCCCAAGGGATGACCCCAAGCGGAAATCAACGTACGTAACAAATATCATTTACAAAATCATCATATATATCACATAAAACATGTCATATAATCAATTATCATAACTAAACAAAACATATACACATATCTTACAAGAGACATACGCAGTTATTCCCAAGGGAGGACCCCAAGCGGAAATCAACGCACGTGTTCCCAAGGGAGGACCCCAAGCGGAACCAGAACATATCAGAGGCGTACGTAGTCATTCCCAAGGGAGGGCCCCAAGCGGAAATCAATGCACGTGTTTCCAAGGAAGGACCCCAAGCGGAACCAGAACATATCAGAGGCGTACACCGTCAATCTCAGGGGAACCCAAGAAGACATCAGTGTACCATACAAGTCAATTCCAGCCAAAGATCAATACAAAAATCATATCAGAACAAGTCATATAACAAATGTGTACACAGTTAATCCTAGGGGAGGACCCCAAGTGGGAATCAGTGTACGTGTTCCCAAGGGTGGACCTCAAGAGGAACTCAACAAAACATATCTTATTAACACATATCAAAAAAACATATCATATTATCATATAGCTCTATATAAATGCATCTATATCATATATCTCATACATATCATACAACCCGACCACAGTTCGTACACTATGGCGGAACACAAAGTAGGAGCGAACCCCATAAACATAGAGCTTACCTCTTGAAGCTTTTTCAATCCACTTACTTGTGGCACAAGTTACTTATATATCTTTAAGAAGGTTCCGATCCTTTTCAGTCCCTAGGTACACCTAGGGAAATAATCCAAAAAGACAAATCAATAAAATGCTATCATGCCTAAATTTTACATAAGGCATACATTTTATCATTTATTTTCATTTCTTTACGTTTTTGCTAATCCTATGCCAATACACAAGTCAAGACCACTACTTTATCTTTTCCTTTAATTTTCCATTTCATAATCGTTAACGTTCCCCACATTAACTAAGTATCCACTTGAGAATTTTCAACATAATTAATGCCATTATTCTTCTTAAGGACGTGGGTACCCTAAAGGGAAACAAGCCTTTTTTCAACAATTTTTGAGTCATATACTTTCTTTAACTCATCCATTACATACGTTGGAAATTATGCATTTTGTTAAATAACATGTAACTAACTCTATCCCTAAACCACCCTATAGGTCGAACTCTAAAAGGAAATAGGCAAAGGGTTCTTTTCTTTTTCATTATACTTTCTTCACTTAATTAGCAACTTAAACATACATATATGTATCCAAAAGGTTCCAATAAAATTTTTGGAACATCAAGTCCTTCACAAACACAACATGGCCGAAATATAGGGACATAACACATAGGATTTTTTTCCACTTTGGTCTTCACACTAATTCACCAAATTTATACTTAATCTAACACATTACACCTTCCTAATACATAGAATAAAATTTTGCACATCATGCTCTACTTACACTATGAAGGCCAAGGCATAGGGGGGAAGGTGCAATAGAGTTTTTTTCAATTTTTAAACACAATACAATGCTTAATTCACATTCCTATATCCAAAACATCAACAATCTATTATCAATTCAATTTTTAATCACAAGGCTTTCCCACCAAAGCATACTCTAATTTTCAAAACCGAAATCATGACAAACAAACTATAGAAATAGAGATTTATTACCTCTAGTTGCTATTTCAAGCTCCAAAGAACAAAACCTAAGCTTTGCTCACTCAAAAGCCCCATTTTTCTACAAGCATGAATAATGTCACGAATTGGGTTTGATGAATAACTCTATCCACAAGCCAAATCAGCCCAAATGGAGTGGTGGAATGGATTCACTAGCCTTTTTCCTTAAAGATTCATGTATGACATCATGGCTTTTGGTGACAAAATGAGTGGGAAAGAGAGAAAATAAAAAAACTAACCTAGGTCCCTTTCTCCATGGAAGCGTCGATCAACACCGAGAGAAATAAAAAAGAGAGGAAACAACGCGTAGAAAGAAGGAGAAATAAAGGATTTCACGGTGTGTAAAATTTAAGTTACTTTAACTGGGTAACATCTTATCTATTTACACATCTCCATTCATTACCAAACTTTGCACACTAGTCCAGAATATTTTTATGGTAATATTTATAATTTTACTTTTTACTTTCGGGTAACTTTATTTACCCGCCTTTTTACTCCTTAACTGTCATTTTAACTCTTTTTTCACCAAAGGTGACTTTATTTCTTTTACTTCTAATTATTCATCGATATTAAATCTACAATTACTAGTAAGGGTTATTATATTTAGTGTCCAACTATTGTATTTATAGTCACTTAACCACTAAACACACAGTATTAACTTTAATTGCTACGCTTAGCATTTTATTCCCAAACTTTGGATTCTTAACCTACTCGATTTTACAAGAATTATGATATTTTTATTTTATTTTTCGGAGCACCTTTCCGGTACGCACTTTTCATAGCCAGTATCAGTTTCTGGCACCAGTTCTCATTATTTTAACTTGAAACTCGTTTTACAAGTCCTACATATTATTCTAGTAATTATCATGTACTTTTTATAATTTTCTGGGATACTTTTTCGGTACGCATTTATACCGACTAGCAGAACCGGTATCTGCACTTTTCGTCAGAAAAATGACTTTCAGCATTATTACTCACTTACTATAATTATTAGAGCCTCAAAATAATTATTAGGGTCAATTATGAAATTATCTCATTAAACTCATAATTAACTGATTAATTTCCTTAATTAACGGTGCTGGTTCTTACAACAAACATTAATTTCTAAACAATACGATACTATAACTATCTTCTTTCATGTTTACCTTATTTTATTTTGTTTGATAATCATGTTCACCTTATTTCTTTCTCTCTAATATAATTATATCACAATCTTAATTGATTTTTTTTTTTGTCTCATCTTTGATTGAGAATGAGATGTATTGATGTTGGAAAGGAATAGCTAAGAGAAATATGAAAAAATTATAGGCATCGTATTTTATCCTTAATTTTAAATATTTTATTTTAATTAATGTTAACTTTTAAAAATAACTCTAATTATGTAATGGTTATGGACATTTTTATTTATTATTTATGATAAAAGTATTTCTCCTATCTTATCATAAAAGATAAAATTATCTCCATATTCTCAACATTACATGTTTTGAGAATTGAAAGAATTAATGAAGGATATTTTAGAAATTTTATTTGTTTCTTTATTATATGAATTTTATAGAACATTTTTCACTAATTCTCTTAATCCTTAAAATGATGTATTTTTTGATTGTTGGAGATAATTTTATCTCATGTAATACCAGAAACAATAAACTCGTTATTTATTGAAAAAAATATTTGTTATATTAAAAACACAATTTTGTAAAAGGACCATATTTTGGTATATATTTGATAGGTTTTTACGATCTCTCTTCTTCGTGAAATTAGGAGAAGAGAAAGAAAGAATATTGTGGGGAGAGAAAAGGTAAAAAGAATTACCTAAAAACATCCATTTTAACATAAAATTGTAGCTTTAAAATGATAATATTTTTTTCTTATTTATTTTTAAGAATATATTAGTTATTAATAATGGAGAAAAAGAAAAAGAGTAAACACCCTTTTTAGTCCCTGGCAATATCTACGAAGTCTTTTTCAGTCCCTGGCAATAAAAAAGGACCAAATTGGTCCCTGAAAGTACAAGAAAAGGGTCGCTCTACATATTTGGGAATTGACATAAGGACTAACATGACCCTTTTTTTGTAATTTCAGGGACCAATTTGGTCCTTTTTTATTGCCAGAGACTAAAAAGGACTTCGTAGATATTAACAGGGACTAAAAATGGTGTTTACTCAAAAGAAAAAGTATTAGTTATCATTTTAGTTTATAATTAACGTCTGACTTAAAAAAAAATTGATCGACACTAATTTTGGCAGTGCGCTAGCCCAATTTAAATTAAATTTATAAATTGTGGGGTTCAAATTATAAAATAGTAAATAAGAATGGATGACAAGTGTGATAGTGTATGGTTGACACTAGACAACATTGGAAACCCTTTCGTTCTTCCCCTTGTTGTTGTTGTTGTTGTTTAGCTTTCACTGTTTTGCAGAGAAATGGAACAAGATTCGCATCAAAGATGGGAAGGTAAGGTTTCAGCGAAGCTCAGAAGCACGACTTCAGAACAAGCATGGCAACTTGTGAAGGACTTCTTTAATATCCACAAACGGTTCCCTACCCTTGCCACATGCTACGGGATCCACGGGTCTAACGGTGAGCCCGGCTGCATACGATACTGTGCGGGCTCCTCCATCCGATCCAACGGCTCCGAAAGCGTGAGCTGGTCAAAGGAGAGGCTTGTAGCCGTTGATGATGTTGACCGGAGCCTGAAGTATGAGATTGTTGAAAGCAATATTGGGTTCAAATCATACGAGGCAACCATGAGGGTCCTTAACGATGATGATGGGTCAGATGGATGCATGTTAGAATGGTCCTTCGTGGTTGACCCTGTCGAAGGATGGGTGCTCGAGGATCTTGTTAGGAAGTACCAGGTAGGAATTCAACTTATGGCTCAAAAAATGGAGAATGAAATTGCAAGTTCAATGAATGGAGGAGATTAAGTTTTGATAATCATGTTAAATAATCGTGTTCTTTTATTTCATTATATTTTGAATCTAATTGGAGGATATTAAGTTTTGATTTTTAGTATTAGTTACCCGATATACTTAGTATTAAAAAAATTTATAACTTTTACAACTAACCTAATCAATATTGATTTCCGTCAATCTAACGGTAATAATTTATCGTAAATTATTGGGTCGCATTTATTAATTTATTGAAAATTATTGGATCCAATAAATTATAACCGTTAGATTGACGGAAATCAATGATGATTAAATTAGTTGTAAATGTTATAAACTTTTTTGGTGATAAGTATACCATTCCCCCTATTTAGCATGATTATGTTATGTTGAAACTCTTCGATGGGGTACGGGTGAAAAGAGAATTTGTGTTCAATTCTCATCATTAAATACATCTTTGGGACCCTGAGTAAGCTCCAAACTCGGGATTAGTCGTATAGTCAATTCAAAAAATTGAAGATTGTAGGAATACTCAAGATATAAAGATGAATTAATAATGATAAAAAAAAGAAAAAGAAAAATTGGAATAGGTAGTTATAAAATTATTACTTTTGATCCATTGTTGTATGATTAGAATTTGTAAAGAATCAATTCAATCTTGGGTGAGGGCCTTTATATAGTTTATATTGTTTTCTAACATACATCATGCTTAAAATGTGATATTGCATAGGTCCAATTTTTTATGATTTTATCTTATGCTTATTTAATTTCACAAGTGGGGGACGATGAAGATTGAATTCGTGACCTTATGATTATTAAAGCTTTGATATCATGTAAAGAACTAATTCAACCCAAAATTTTAAGATATTATGATTTTACTTATGTTTATTTAATCTCACAAATGGAACTTGTGACCGGTCACTGAAATTTTGATATCATATAAAGAATTAATTCAATCCAAAATTTTAAGGTATTGGGTGAGGACTTTTTTAATGGATAAAGGACTTCAAATCATCGTGTGGACAACTCTAATTGTCACATCCGCTGAAAGATTTTATATAAAATAGATGTGAACGTTAAAATGCATGTGGAAGAGCATTTGAGTATTTGGAATGAGGTTGCAACTCTCTAAGAGGGAATATCTTTGGTACTACAGATGCATTGAAAATTTGGTGCATCTTTCATTAATAATATGACACGTGTCTTATTTTATATCAAATCACTCTCTCTTTTAATTTTGAAATTAATTATTGATTTGACAAAAGTAAGACACATCTCACAATATGACTAGAAGATACATCGAGTTTACGGTGCCTCCGTAACACCAAAGAAATTTTCCTTGGGAGGAGCAAACCTTGGATGCTACTGTTGCACCATACATCACTTTTTTTTGGAAATACAATGACCATACATCACTTCTAAAAAAAGAAAAATTTTGGATTTGAAAGAAATTATGAGAAAAGACTTGGATTCAAGTGGTATTAAAAAATTTTAATTTAGAAAAATGTTGTACCCAACTCGGTATAGCAGTGGTATAAAAAAAATTCCCCTTGGGAGACCATCTTCTATACAGCAGTCATATGTGCATATGCGATCAAGAAAATGACAATTGAACTAAATATTTTTTTCTACTCTCTGTGCAGACAACACAGTTATTGCTCCATTTTCATTGGTTGGTCTCATGGAGTGGAGTGTGCAACGGCTGCACCATAGATATTTCCCAACCCTTTATGCCATATGTGCCTATAAGCTATAATGCTCGCTTATTTTTTAAGCTATTGTGATAAGCTTACCAAAGGAAAAAGCTGAGGTGATTAAGATATTGATTCGATTAGCCTAGCAAAAGCATTATTTGATCATTTTTCCTTTTAAACTCTTACCAGATTTCCTCTATTTTTCTATTCTCCTTCACTGCTTCTTTAGAAGCAACTGTACTAATGTTATGTTATTGGAGCAAAATGTGAAAGATCCATGAAGGATAATTGAATGTTATGACAACTCTCTAGTTTTTTTTTTTTTTTAAAAAAAAAAAATAAGAAAAGAAAAAGAAGACTTTTTCTATTATGGACAAGTTTGGGAAAGAAGCAAAGTGCAGAAGAAATAAAATTATAGTGCTGTACATAAGAGTGTAAATAGATTAGGTCGGTCTACAGGAACTTACGACCTAGCTTGTATTAGGTCAGACTTAACCTGTTACAAATAGTAAAATAGAACAGGTCTAGACTTTTAAAAAAATCTATTTAGAAAATGTCATAGGCTTTTTTTGTCATATCGGGCCTATAAGCCTACAAGCCATCCTATATCATATTATTTATTTTAAATAAAATTATTATTTTAATAAATGTGAATAATAAAGTAATATTATTTTAATTATTCTTTTAATTGTTCAATATTTAATAGACTTAAACAGATCTAGATCAAGACTTTTATTTTTTAAATATAAGTCAGGTCAGACTTGTAATTTGGAATTTACACAGGCTAACAGTCCAGGTCAGACTCAATATTTTTTATATAAGTTTGACCTATTTAAGTCAAAGTCCAACCTAACCTAACCTATTTACACGTCGTCTATACATATAGACCAAGACCTTTAATTTCTTATTGACTTTGCACATTCGCGTTGAGAAAATCGCATTGAAATGGTGGTCTTCTCTTTTATTTTGGAAGAAAATAATGGCTACTTTTATGTATATATGATGTAATAAAATAAAAATGGTGTCCAAAAAAACTGAATTTAATGTTTGTAATTGGCGTTGTAAAGTGAGTTATAATTGGCTCTCAACAAAATTTGCAGAAAATTTTACCTATCAGAGAGATAAGGTAACTAGGATAGCCAAGTTCGTCATGCACATGAAATTTAAAAAAACGGGTAGTAGCTAGAATGCAATGCTATTAGACATGGGTACTCATCAGTTGAGGTATTGGTTTATTGGATTATTGATTATTATTATTTTGGAAGTTAAGGATTATTGATTTAATTAGTGGGTCACTGGTCAAATCGAATGACCAATATAAATATGTACAAATTTATATTTTATATTTTACTTTATAAAAATATTTAAATACTTATATATATATATATGTGTGTGTGTGGGGGGCAGGATCATTTGACATCGGTGTCAAATTTTTAAGTTTGACACTAAATCCTAATAGTTGATTTTCGCCAATCAACGGTTATCATTTATTGAGAATTAATTAATGAGTTTGATTCCCAATAAATGATAACCGTTGATTGGCGGAGATAAACAGTTAAAATTTGGTGTCAAATTTCAAAGTTTAACACCAGTGTCAAAGGATCATGTCAAAGTTGTAATTTAGGGATTTAGAATGCTGGTACTAGTATAAAAACACAACATCTAACAATTTTTTTTTAGAAAATAAAAATTGCATGACCCACTAATTCAACCAATTTTGATAGAAAATCGGTCGAGTTGAAAATCGATTTTCACTGGATTTGTTATATGACTAATTCGTCAGTCGTCACTCAGATTGATTGTATGAACGGTTCACTGGTTTTTGGGTCAATATGACCGGTCCGACCCGGGTTTAATAATATTGCTGGAAAGAATATTGATTTTGTTACAAAATGGACATTACTACATGAGAATATTACAAATGTACATTACTAGTCTTTATCACATTTTATGGGAGATTAAGTATTGTAACAACAGACTATGAATAGGCTAGAAGATGAGAAGACTTTTTGTACTCTTCTCCCACCTTCATCTGTATATTGAGGTGATATGGCTTGTATTCGCTGACACTGAATAATACAATTTCTGACTCCTTCTCGCTTATTCTCTTTCTCTCTATCTAGTAATTTTTTTAGAGTTGATTCCATTTATTCATCATTTTTTTCATAACACGTTATCAGCGCGATAGTCTATACCAAAAATAAATTGTTTTCTCTTTTAATTCAAAACCTGTGAAATCTCTCCCTCTGACTACCATGTTTTTCTCTTACCAAGATATCAGAGAATATCCACTCTCTTCAAGTCACCTCCACAATTTCCTCTTCCCATGGCACCTTTGAAATTCTCCCTATCATACTAGCCAAGTTTTTTGCCTGTCTAAGGAGGAACTTTCGGTTACAAGATAATAGGAAGAGAGTTAACTATATACTCCCATTTTCCTACCCTTTGGCTACCCCTTTCGATTCAGGATTTTCCACTCCTTCTCGATTTTGCCTTCAGGCATCTCTTCATGAACTATGGGCTCATACATGTCTTTGCAGTACATATGGTCTTCCATCATAGATCTCCAGTAAGTGAAGTTGTCAGCAATCAATTTAAACATGTCTTCGTCGTGGGCAACGCCGCTAGTTTCCATTTCATCTCCTCAAAAGCCTTTGAACCCGAGCTTTGATACCATTGTTTGGACAAGTTTGTACCTTAAAGTCGGCACTTCGAGCTCAAACCTAGGAGCTCGGCAATCAGAGGTCGACCTGTAATCACCAGGACAGCCAACACACATCAGAAAACGAAAAATGCATAAGTGAGAGGACAAAGAAACACAATCTAATTTTAATGTAGAAAATATTATTCAATGTACATTTCACTATGAGAATAATGGGTTATAAGAAATCAAATTTCACTAACAAATGGTGGTTCACTCAAACCTCACCTATAATGGTAGTACTCAAACTTTCCTAAAGAGGTCTAAATCCCAATCTTCTCTTTAAAGGTATTAAAATTCTCTAAGATCTAAGCTTTCTCAAAACCGTTAACACATTACAAAGGTCTTCAAGTGTATATATAGGAGAGCGAAGAATCCTCCACCTTCCTTCTAGAATCTTCCATAATGATGAGATAGTTGAGGTGATTGGGTTGTCTTGAGCCTTGCACTCAATAAATGAGAGTGCATGCCAGCATTAATGGAGGAACACCACCCAACACTCCTCTCTCTCTCTCTCAATTATACATATTGCTATACGACATCTAGTTTTTAGTCTAGTGATTATACATATGATAATGAGGAAATTTCCATTTTAGAGTCAAACATTTTTATACATCAAAATACATAGAACATACGACAGTTCAAAATATACATTAAGATACACAACATCTCATTTTTGGTTTATATAAGTTTGTCATCAACTCGAACTCTCCAAATATCCTATCAAGGAGTCACAAGCAAAATTACGGGGTTAAGAAAATGTCGAGCTTCCCAAATATCCTATCAAGGTGTCTATGCATAATTATGTGATAAAGGACTAAATTATCTATGATCCTTTAGTATGTTTAAAAATAAAACTAATCATTCACATATATGATTACAAGTCATGACGTTTTTGGTTTAGTGATTATTCACTTAATAACAAGTGAGCATGTTTCCGTTTTAGAGTTAAGCCTTTTTATACATAAAGTTAAATAGAAAATACAATTGCAGAAATTATACATCAAATCCTTTTTATACATAAGTTACAAACCATCATAATTTTTGTTCGGTGCTCATAGAAGCCTATCCCATGCTCGAACTCTCGAAATATCATATTTAAGCATCACATGCATAATTATAAGGTTAAAATATGATGAGCTCTACAAATATTATTATTGATATATCACATGCATAATTACATGATAAAGAACTTTATCTTTGATCATTTCTTATATGTACAATCACAAAAATACAACTAACCATTTATACATGTAGTTCCATGCCATCACATTTTTGGAGATATAGCAATTTTCATTGGGTAATAAGCGAGTCTGTTTTCATTTCTAATTATGTTGTTACCCCCTCTCTCATTTACACTTGGGGTTACACGCCATTATGTTTTTGGTACTCATACAAGTTTGTCATGAGCTCAAACTCTTCAAATATCCTATCGAGGCATAACATGCTAATTATGTGATAAAGGACTGACTTTTCTTTAATATTTTTATTATATACAAATGCAAAATACAACTAAACATTTACACTTGCGACTACATGCCTTCAAATTTTTGGCCAAGTGATTTTTCACCTGATAATAAGTGAATCCATTTCCTTTTCACAAAACCCTAATTATGTTGTCCATTTTCTTATCTATATTCGTGATTACACAAATCACGTTTTCAGTCTAGTGATTATTCACTTAGTAATAAATGACTGTATTCCTATTTTAAAATCAAACCTTTTGTACATCAAATTACATGGAGACAAATGACTATAGAAACTATACCTCAAGTTACACATCATCATTTTTTTGGTCTAGAGCTCATACAAATTTATCATTAGCTCAAACTCTCCAAATATCCTATCAAGGCATCACATGTTAATAACGTGATAAAGATCTACTCTGATCTTTTTCGTATGTATATTAAATACAAAAATACAACTAATCATTTACACATGCGATTATATGTCATCACGTTGTTAGTGTAGTGCTTACTCCCTTAGTAACTTATAAGCGTGTTTCCTTTTTAGAAAAGTCTAATTATGTCCCCCCACCCCCGGTTTTTTTCTCGTTTACACATGTGGTTACACACTATCACGTTTTTAGTGTAGTGATTATTCACTTTATAACAAGGGAGTGTGTTTTTATGTGATTACACCTTATCACGTTGTTAGTATGGTGTTTACTCAGTAACTTGTGAGCGCGCATTTCCTTTTTAGAGAACTCTAATTATGTGTCCCCCTCTTTCTCTCTCATTTACACATGGGGTTACACATTATCACGATTTTAGTCTAGTGATTATTCATTTTATAACAAGGGAGTGTGTTTTATGTGATTACATGCCATCCTATTGTTAGTGTAGTGCTTATTCACTTGGTAACTTGTGAGCACATTTCCTTTTTAGAGAACTCTAATTATGTTTCCCCCCTCTTCTCTCTCATTTACACATGTGGTTACACACTATCATATTTTTAGTCTAGTGATTATTCACTTTATAACAAGGGACTGTGTTTTATGCGATTACATATCATCACATTGTTAGTGCAGTGCTTACTCACATGGTAACTTGTGAGAGCGCATTTCTTTTTTAGAGAACTCTAATTATGTTTTACCCCTTATTTCTCTCTTGATTACACATGTAGTTATACACTATCACATTTTTAGTATAGTGATTATTTACTTTATAACAATATGGAGTGTGTTTTATGCGATTACACGTCATTATGTTGTTAGTGTAATGCTTACTCACTTGATAACTTGTGAGCGTGTTTCCTTTTTAGAGAACTCTAAGTATGTTTTCCGTACTCTTTCTCTCTTATTTACACATGTAGTTACACACTATCACATCTTTAGTCTAGTGATTATTCTCTTTATAACAATGAAGCGTGTTTTATGCGATTACACACCATCACATTGTTAGTGTAGTGCTTACACACTTGGCAACTTATTAGCACATCTCCTTTTTAGAGAACTCTAATTATGCTTCCCCCTCTTTCTCTCTCATTTACACATGTGGTTACACACTATCATATTTTTAGTGTAGTGATTATTCACTTTATAACAAGGGAGTGTGTTTTATGCGATTACATACCATCACATTGTTAGTGTAGTGCTTACTCACTTGGTAACTTGTTGTGAGGGCGTTTCTTTTTTAGAGAAATCCAATTATGTTTTACCCCTTCTTTCTCTCTTATTTACACATATAGTTGTACACTATCACATTTTTAGTCTAGTGATTATTCACTTTATAACAATATAGAATGTGTTTTATGCGATTACACGTCATTACGTTGTTAGTGTAGTGCTTACTCACTTGGTAACTTGTTAGCGTGTTTCCTTTTTTAGAGAACTCTAATTATGTTTTCCCTACTCTCTCTCATTTACACATGTAGTTACACACTATCACGTTTTTAGTCTAGAGATTATTCATTTTATAACAAGGGAGCGCGTTTTATGTGATTACACGCCATAACGTTTTTAGCGTAGTGCTTACTCACTTGGTAACTTGTGAGCACGTTTCCTTATTAGAAAACTATAATTATCTTTTTCCCCTTCCTTTTCTCTCATCTACACATGTGGTTACACACTATCACATTTTTAGTCTAGTGATTTTTCATTTAATTATAGCAAGCCAGTGTTTTTTCATTCTAGGTTTGAACCTTTTTACTCATCAAATTACACGAAAACAGTACATAAAACAGTCACACATAAAGTTACACACCATCACATTTTTGGTTTAGTGCTCACGCAAGTCTGTCGTTAGCTCAAACTCTCTAAATATCCTGTTGAGGCGTTACATGCATAATTATAGCATTATTAAACGACGAGCTTTTCAAATATCCTATTGAGGCATTAAATGCTAATTACATGACAAAAGACTAGCTTCTCTTTAATCTTTTTGTTTGTACATAAACATAGAATACAATTAATCATTTACATATGTGATTACACACTATCCAAATTTAAGTCTAATGATTGTTCACTGGGTAACTAGTGAGTGCGTTTTCTTTTCACATAACCCTAATTATTTTATCCCAACTCCCTCTCTCTCATTTATATATGTGATTACACACTATCACGCTTTTCATTCTAATGATTATTGAGTGTGTTTTCATTTTAGGTTCATACCTTTTTAAACATCAAATTACATAGAAATAAATGATTGCCAAAAGCTATACATAAATGCAAGTCTATCATTTTCTCAAACTCTTGACACATCCTATCGAGGTGTCATATGAATCATTATATGGTTATAAAAATAATAATCTCTCCAAATATCTTATCAAAGTATCACATACTAATTACGTGATAAAGGATAAGCTTCTCTTTGATCCTTTTGTGTGTATATAAATACAAAAAGAAACAGCTAATCGTTACATATGTTATTACACGCCTTCACGTTGTTGGTCCAGTGATTAATCACTTGGCAAAAAATTGTAACTATATAGACTTCCCCTCTCTCTCTTATTTCATTACACACCATCACATTTTTAGCTTAATGATTATTTTATTGATAACAATTTGAGCGTATTTTAATTTTATAAATCAAATTACACAAAAACATACAATTGTTGACACTATATAATCATCTTTATAATTCAAATGAAATAAGTACGCTTTGCAACCATTTTGTACTTCCGATATAAAAATAAAGTGGTTTAAAAGTTGGATTGAGTCTTTAATAAATACATAATCAGTTTAAAATTCCTTTAATTTAATTAACATCATTCAATGTGAAATTATTGTAGTGACAACAAATGCTTTTAACAATCTTGAAATAAGCATTTACCATACTATAAGTCAGGGACAGACATGAATACAAGAATAAGAAGTCTTACATCAAATTTTAGCCATTTGTTTGGTTGGATTTAACGGCTCAAATATCTAATAAATTATAACCGTTAGATATAAATAAAATTAAGAATCAAGATTGAGAGTGTAACTTACACCAGTGTAAAATGATTATGACCCTATATATATATAGGGCTTATCGTTTCTTAAGTCATTTGAGATAACTTTATTTTCGGCCACTAAATCATAACCGTACAAAGATGGATCAATGGTGATAAATGAAGAGAGAAAAAGAGAATCATAACCATTCAAAGGTGAATCAATTAATATAAGAAAATAAATAAACAAAATGACGTAGTTTTGAGGTGAGCAAAGATAAATATATCTAAAGTGACTTGAGAAATATTTTTCTTATATATATGGGCTTATCGTTTCTCAAGCTGCTTCAGATAACATAACCGTACAAAGATGGATCAATGGTGATAAAGGAAGAGAGGGAAAAAGGAAATCATAACCATTCAAAGGTGAATCAATTAATATAAGGAAATAAATAAACAAAACGATGTAATTTTGGAGTGGCCGGAGATAAACTTATCTCAAATTGTCGGAAAAATATTTTTTCATATATATATATATATATATTTTATCATTTGTGTTTCTGTTGTTTTACAATTTAAAATGGACAGAAGTATACTTTTAACCATTAATTTTATTATAAGTTTCTATTTTATCTCATAATTATATCATTTTATTTTCAGATTTAATATTTCTCGTATTGTATTTTCAACAAGGGATAAATAAAAATCATGTTGCATGTACAAAATTGGTGTCATGCAACTACTAAAGACAAAGTAAAGTCATTGAATAGTGTGCCTTTTCAAAAAATTTTATTATTATTTAACTTGTCTTTTCTTTGTAGGAAAAAAAATATAGTCATGTTGCATGATGAATCTAAAGCACTTTCAACAAATATTTACGCACATAAAAGTACCTGGAACCTATATGAGTCTATATGAGGAACAAAGAAAGAAAGAAATAATATAGATCATACACTTTTATGTGTGTAGGAGATAAATTTATCTTCTATAACATAAGAAACATTAAATCCTTTGTTTTTATCTTAAATCTTTTTTTTAAACCCATCCTAATTACAAGCATCATCAAAATAGTTAAGAACATTTGCAAATCAATTAATACATGCAACTAGGTTACTTTTTGAAAAAAAAAAAAAAACTAATATGGTGAGTTTTACATATTGTTATATCAAAATTTCTTACAAAAAAACCTGTGCTAAAGTAATATAGAGCCAAGCTGGCAGCAAAGGCAAGGGGTATAATAGAAGGAAGCAGAACAAAGAACATTCTTGACACTTAAGTGGCTATGGCATACAACAAATTACATGAAACTGTCTTCAGTTTTGTCCACATATGTACTGTCCAAAACTTTACAGCACACGCGTTTTGAAAGAGAGTGTGGTTCTTATTTTTCCTATTTCCTTCTCACAATCTCTCTGTGAACTGTGATGAGATGAGAGAGTGAGAAAGAAGGCTTTCACTTGAAGTGTTAGGAAGTGCCAAAACAAAGCAATGCAAGAAAAGCCAAAAACAGCTACAAAAACAACAGGCAGAACAAACTGCTAAAAAAGAAAAAAAAAAAGAAAAAAAAAGAAAGAGAAGAAATAAAACTATAATGATGTGAGGAGAAAAAAAAATGGGCACTTATTCTGTCTGGTATTTGGAGTTTCTCTTATAAGCAACCCCATCACTATCCCAATCACAATATATATATGTATATATTCATCACTAGTCCTTTTCTTTTGTACAGCTACAAAGGAAGGAAAAAGTAAAAACTAAAACTACATTTTCTACATCTATCAACTATCACAGACAAACTTTGAGGTACCTAAGTTTATAGTTTTATTCTCTCTTCTTCTCCATGTCATCAACTGTATATATATATATAGATAGATAGATAGCCATTGGTAATCAAATGAAGCATTTTTCCAATCTCTAATCTAATGGAGACTTTTTCTTTTTCTTCTTTGGGTTTTGAAAGTTGATAATAATAATATAACTTGGGTTGAATTTGAAAGGCAAAGATGATGACAGTGAGTTCTGGCTGCGAAGATAGGATGAAGGTGGCAAATGATAACGGCAAATATGTGCGCTATACACCAGAACAAGTGGAAGCTCTTGAGAGAGTTTATCATGAATGTCCCAAACCCAGTTCCATGAAACGTCAACAAATAATCAGAGAGTTCCCCATTCTCTCTAATATCGAACCTCAGCAGATCAAGGTTTGGTTCCAGAACAGAAGGTATTTATCTCTTTTTTTTTCTTTTTCTTTTTTGGCTTTGTTTACTTTTACTTTGTTTTTTGACTATGTTGCAATGGTTTAAGAGCTATGATTTTTTTTGGTTATGTTCTTTGTTGTTACAGATGCAGGGACAAGCAGAAAAATGAAGCTTCACGGCTTCATGGTGTAAACAGGAAGCTGATAGAAATGAATAAACTGCTGATGGAGGAAAATGAGAGGCTGCAAAAGCAAGTGTCACACCTCGTCTATGAGAACACCTTTTTCCGCCAACAAACCCAGAATGTAATAATAAATAGCATGATATAATTTCTTAATTAAAAAAAATATAATTTTATGATAATACATTCTTTTTAACATCATATTGCAGAATACAACACTTGCTACCACAGACCCGAGTTGCGAGTCAGTGATAATTAGTGGTCAACATCATCTTCTGACACCTCAGCAACCAAGAGATGCAAGCCCAGCTGGGTCAGTGAATTATTTTTATTTTTATTTATTTGTGTGTGTGTGTGTGTGTGTGTGTGTTGGTGTTGTACAATTTCAGTTTATGACAACTAATGTGGTTGTTTTGTATTGTCTTGCTCTATGCTGTCCAGACTTTTGTCCATTGCAGAGGAGACTGTAGCAGAGTTTATTTCAAAGGCCACTGGAACTGGAACTGCTGTGGAGTGGGTCCCAATGCCTGGAATGAAGGTTACAGCTTCTTGCTTGTTATTATCACAACAATCACAACATGTTAACAAGATTCCACTATTCTTTGTCAGTGTATGGGGCATGTTAATGAAGTGCATGAACCTTAAGGCAAACCAACTTGGAATGCACATCATCAGAAACACTGTCCCCAATAATAATCATAATTCAAAGTCCATATAAACCCGACTCAAGTCTCATACCTTGCCATTAGATCATAACATTCCACTACGCTCCGCTCGATTGCAATTGCCATAATTTTTTTCTTAGCATGGCCATGATTCAAAGCTGCCTGGATTGAATAGCTCTGATACCATTTGATAAAAACTTTGGAATGCATCATCTCAAAAGCTAGCTGAAAGGGTGGGAGTGCTTAAGGTCTTATAACCCCACATTAATTGCCCATACAAACAATGTGGGACTTCAAGTCCCATACCTTGCAAATGGGTCATAACATTCCACCATGCCCCGCAGTCCCGGCGCTCACACGGGCTAGCTTTGCTCAAGTCTTTTACTAGCCCTGGGCGAACTCTTCAATGTCAACATCACCACCAGAGCCGCTCGATTGCAACTGGAAGACATAGTGGAAGGCTCTGATACCATTTGATAAGAACCTTGAGATGCACCACCCCAATAGCTCTTGGGGTGATGCATCCAAGGTTCTTATCAGACACATGTCTGTGCTTTAAGCCAAAAGGCTCTTCGGTTAAAAACCATTTATGAGCTTTCATGCTTAAACTTTTAATGGCATTAGTGACAATTTCTACCCTTTGTCTATTTCTTCAATCTCTTTACTAGGTAACTAATTTTGTAACTTGTTTCTTTACATGTCTGCAGCCTGGTCCTGATTCCATTGGAATTGTTGCTATTTCTCATGGTTGCACTGGAGTGGCAGTACGTGCTTGTGGCCTAGTGAGTCTAGAACCTAAAAGAGTAAGTTCCTGTTTTATTAAGAGAACCAATTCATATGAACTGGGGAGACACTGATTAAAAATGTTCTGTACACAGGTTGCTGAAATTCTCAAAGATCGAACCTCGTGGTTTCGTGATTGCAGATCTGTGAATGTTCTAAATATGATCTCCACTGCAAATGGGGGAACAATTGAACTGCTTTACATGCAGGTACTAATACTATAGCTAGTACATTCTCTGTCCATGGTTTAATATATTTGGAAGCTTTGGTAAATGCATAGTTCAAATTTTGCCATCTTTATTAGTTGTATGCACCAACAACTTTGGTACCAGCTCGTGACTTTTGGTTGCTACGTTACACATCTCTTTTGGAGAATGGTAGTCTTGTGGTATGTAACTTTTTTTACAATAAAGTTCTCACATTTTTCTCCCTTTATCATTCCTTGCCTTTGATGCTTATGTGGGCTTCAATCATGATTTTAACAATAACAGATATGTGAAAGGTCACTTAACAACACTCAGAATGGTCCTACTATGCCCCCAGTGCAGCATTTTGTTAGAGCAGATATGCTACCAAGCGGGTATCTAATTAGACCTTGTGAAGGAGGGGGATCCATTATTCATATTGTTGATCATATGGTTTTAGAGGTTTGTAAAATATCCTTTTACTTATAAAGTGAAGCAAACTTGGTTAGCTTCATTGTAACTTAAATTATTGACTTGCTGGTTGTTTTGAATCAGCCCTGGAGTGTACCTGAAGTTTTGCGCCCACTTTATCAATCACCAATGCTGCTTGCTCAAAAGACAACTATGGCGGTGAGACTATTGTTTCTGCTAGTAACTTTCACCAGAGATTTCTTATGCTTTATGATTTGGAATAATTTTATTTTTTTGGTATCCAAAACGGTTTAATCAGGTTCGAGTACTGTCACAAGAACTCTAGTTAAGGGAAACAAGCTTCTTACCAGTGTTGTTGGTTTGATTTGATTTGGAATAATTAATGTGTGGCTTTTATAAGCCTGATATTTTGCTCTTCCTGTGGCTTTTATAAACTCATGCAGCTTCAAACAGTAACTCTGTATTTATCATTCAGGCTTTACGTCATTTGAGGCAGATTTCTCAAGAAGTATCACAGCCAAGTGTCACAGGATGGGGAAGAATGCCTGCTGCTCTACGAGCACTTAGTCAGAGATTGAGCAAGTTTGTGCCTTGATTGTTCACACTGTTCCTTGAAATAAATCAAATTAATTGAGTGGTTAGGGTAATCCAAATCCTAAATTTAATCTTCCTCTTTTGCAGGGGCTTTAATGAAGCTGTCAATGGGTTTGCAGATGATGGCTGGTCCTTGTTAGAAAGCGATGACAATGATGATGTTAAGCTTCTTGTGAATTCATCTCCTGGCAAGATAATGGGAGGAAATCTAGGTTATAACAATGGTTGCCCTTCTGTGAGTAGTTCCATACTATGTGCCAAAGCATCCGTGTTCTTACAGGTAAATGTAATACTTGAATGTAAAACAAAATATCATGGTCACAGTTGAATAGCTTGTTTATTGATACCAGCACAACAACTGCTGTATTTAATACAATTACCAAAGAGTAAATTGAAGTAGATTCTTTGTTTATGAATCTATCTTATCTGGGGCTTGCCTGTGTCGCTGAAATTTGAATTTGTAGTTATGAAAGATGGAGAAAGTTATATTTACAAACTTTTTGTTTACAAACTACACTATGTACTAGGGGTAGTACATTCCAGCACATAATGTACTACTCCTAGTACATAATATAAAAAGTTTATAAATATAATCCTCTCCATAAAAGATTAACATGGTAAGGTTGTTCTAACACTTACTATCCTTCACAGATATAGCATGCATGTTGGTTTCCTCTTCACATGGTTCTACGCTCTTATTTTTCCTTTTTATAAATATAATTTCAATCTAAATAATAAATTTCTTTTAACCTTTATTCTGCATTAATTGCATATGTTATCTACGAAAGTCTCCTCCATATGCTACAAAACAATCTCAAGAAGCAAAGGCTTATAGACCAGCTTCTAGTTTCTTTTTTCTTTTTTCCTGTCTATGAACTGCAAATATTCAGCTTCCATGTATTAGTTGTCTCATGCTCATTTTTCTGTCCCTATAGGATGTCCCTCCAGCAATTCTTCTTAGATTCTTGCGGGAGCACCGGTCACAATGGGCAGATAGTAGTATTGATGCTTACTCAGCTACTGCCATTAAAACTGGTCCCTGCAGCTTGCCAGGGGCTAGAGCAGGAAGCTTTGGGGGTCAAGTTATTCTTCCACTGGCTCACACAATTGAGCATGAAGAGGCAAGTTATTTGGTCCTAATTTGATGCTCCCTTTCAACATAATAGTATTTAGACATTACCCTTTTTTCTTTCAAAGCAATATTGAACACATTTTTTTTCCTTGAGCTTGTGGATATTATCATTCTTGTAGTTTTCTCCTTGTGTGTATTCATTCTTAAATAACTTTTTTATCTCTAAAACAGTTCATGGAGGTTATTAAACTTGAAAACATGGGGTACTGTCGAGATGACATGACTATAACTGGTGATATTTTCCTCTTGCAAGTAAGTAATATGTTTTCATTGCCATTCTTTTCAACTTCATCTATTTCTAGTTTCATGACCACATGGAAAAAATAAAGGGCAAAGTTCCTTCTATAATGGTAATTTAAGAGAAAACTCTACTGCTATATCATAGTTTATTCTTTTGCTAACCACTTATCCATGATTACCATCCTTTCTAAACAATAAGATCAATCACATATTTGGAATGGGGATCTTCACATAGCTATAGGCATATTTTGAGTAAGGATCTATATATGAACACATTATATGTTGGATTCTAAGTGAATAGCTAGAACATTGATATCTGCATATAGTTCTGAAGGTTCATTTCAACCTGAAGTATACAGTTAACTTTCGTTCTGGTTGCATTTGTCCAGCTTTGTAGAGGAGTTGATGAGCATGCAGTTGGCACCTGTGCAGAACTCATTTTTGCTCCCATGGATGCATCTTTCTCGGATAATAATCCCATGTTACCTTCTGGTTTTCGCATCATATCTCTTGATTCTAGCATGGCAAGTCTCAGTTTGAGATATAATTTGATTGCATTATTTTGAGATTTGGTTACCTCTTCCCCTCCTTTTTTACAAATTTTTTTTGACTTTTTGTCCAAAATATGATGAAGGATGCTACTAGTCCAAACCATACACTTGATCTTGCTTCTGCTCTTGAAGTTGGAACCACAGGAAACAAAACATATGGTGACAATGCTGGTCATTCTGAGAGCACAAAATCTGTGATGACAATAGCATTCCAGTTTGCATTTGAAGCAAACCTTCAAGACAATGTAACAACCATGGCCCGGCAATATGTCCACAGCATTATTGCATCTGTGCAGAAGGTTGCATTAGTGATTTCCCCTTCGCATTTCGGTTCTAAGAATTGTTTTCTTTCGCCACCTAGCACTCCTGAGGCACAAATACTTGCTCGGTGGATCTGTAACAGCTATAGGTCTGTCATTAAAAACCTTTGATTGCATGGCTGTTATTTATGATCTGAATAACTCAATCATGTTGGCGTGTTGCTTCAGATTGAATCCTAAAAAGTATATGATTCACTGAAGTTCCTTTGACATTTGAATGAACTTATTTTTTTCTTTGAAAGAGAAAGGTCTACCAGTATAGTAAGAAGAGACAAGTTGGGTAGAACTATAATTGTGTTTTCTAGGTCTTGATCTCATGCATAATGTTGGACACTTGTACTAGGTAAGGATTGTTGTGTTTGAATAGCAATCTTTGTAACTGTTTATGCCACTCAGGTGGTAAGTCAACTAGCACTTTATCCCAATTGGTCTCATTTCAGTAAACTGTAACTGTTTTTCACCTGTTTACGATGATTAATTGATAAAATTCAACAAGGAAATGCCTTTTAGTAGATGAGGGTGAGAACTAAAGGAAAAAGAATTTTCTGGAATATAGTAAGACTCCACAAATTCTCATTCATTAAAATAGGTTGGATTGCAATATCCTCCTTTCCAGGGGAAGTACTATTAGACCACATTGACATTGGCATTAAGTTGGACCTTAGATATGCAAATTCGCATGGGAGACTTCTTTCTTTTATGCACGTTGCTACTTTTTGTTCTTTCTCAACTTGTATAGGAAGTGTCTGTTGAATTTTAAATGCTGACATGCTTTGCAGGTTCTATCTAGGGGTAGAGCTGCAGAAGTGTGAAGGCAGTCACTCCATTCTCAAATCCCTTTGGCATCATTCAGATGCAGTTATGTGCTGCTCTTTAAAGGTATTTTCTTTTTATTATATCTTCATTTTGAATCTTTGATAATGTCTTTTCTGCATTTGTTATGTTCTACACCTAAGGTTTTCTAACTTTATTGATCACTTGAATACATTTCTTTGCACAGATAATTGTACAAGCATTACTTTTGAAATTCTGCTGCAATGTTCCTCCTGGCATATTTTCTAATGATCTCTTAAATGTACGATGCTTACAAATGAAGTGAATGATAAAATACATTGAAATCCATCCTTCCAGCATATGGTCTTCTTGCAGGATTATATATATATATATATATATATATATATATATATATAGGAAAATGTGTTTCTTATGTTATATGAGACAATTTATCTTATGCAACACGCAAAAAAGTGAATGAGACCCACTTTTTTTCTTTCTCTCTCTTCTTCAAAGTGGATCCTACCCACATTTTTGTATGTTGCATGAGATAAATTATCTCATGCAACATGAGAGCCTATTTACCCTATATATATAAACAAAATTTTCTGGTTTGGTGGACCTTATTTTCTTGCTATTGTTTTCTTTCACAATGTTAAAATATAAGAAAGTGGAACTTTATATATGTATTCCCAGGCATTGCCAGTTTTTACATTTGCAAATCAATCTGGACTTGATATGCTTGAGACAACGTTGGTTGAACTGCAAGACATCACTTTGGACAAAATTTTTGACGACCAAAGAAAGAAAACCCTGTGCTTTGAGTTACTTCAGATTATGCAACAGGTGTGGTTCTTTTTACATGTATTAAAAAATATACTTCCATTTGACTTGGTAAGAGGAAAGTCAAGAGTGTTAAAAATGTGAGAATCTTACAATTGCATATCACCTATTTAACTTTTACTCATAAGAATGGGAGGTAATAAAGATTGAACTCTAAAATCACTTGTGCTTCGAGACTTTGATACCATGTTATAAACCAACTATCTCATAAGTTTAGTCGGTCACATATATGAATTGTTTTTATACTTTTATATCTTTGACAAATTCCAAGTGCAATTTGGATGTCTTAAAGGATTGAATGAAGTTACTACTTACTACAATTAACATATCATTGATGGAAACAATGAATGGATGTATTGCTTGGACGGACTAGTAATGAAAATATGTACATAGGCACTGCTCCTTTTATTCCTTAAATTTAGCAAGCTCTAGTGGCTATTTGTCTGACCTTGAACACTCTACGCACAAAATATTCTTTGTAAATAAGTTTGAATCATTGGACTTGTTGAACCCTATATATGCCATAAACAAATTGTGTGACCTCAAATGCATTCAGTATTTGATAATAGTTTGGTTAAATGGTGTCAATGCTATTAATGGTTGAGTTCTGATTGTCAGTTGTTGCTATTTGTTTTTGTTTCTGTACTCTGATCTTGTTCCTTTTTTCTTTTCTTTTTTCTTTTTTTTTCATGCTTTGGCCATTCTGAGCTCACAAGAAAGTTTTTGTGTGATTCATTAATTGTTACTCCAATTAACTGGCTTGCACTTTCTAAAGATGTATTATTTTGGTGCAGGGTTTTGTGTGGATTCAAGGGGGTATCTGCTTGTCCAGCATGGGGAGGCCAGTGTCCTACGAGAGAGCAGTGGCATGGAAAGTATTAAACGAAGAAGAAACGGCACATTGCATCTGTTTCATGTTCATCAGCTGGTCATTGATCTGATAGGTTAAAGAGTATAGAATGTGGGAAAGTAGAGCAGAATATCATGCTTCCATTTTTGCTTTGGAGAATCCCTAGAATACTATGTATTATTTAACATTATACTGTTGTGGGCATATCCTGCTCAAGATCCATCAATGGCCCCAATTTTTTGGTTAGCATTACTTACTTTCCTTAATGCTTCTTGGATATTCGTGCACTTTGTAGATTCTTTAACGACCATTGATGTTTCTTTACAAACATGTACATGCTCTATTTGCCCTTTCCTATTATTGGAGGCCCAATACCAGGAGAGAGATATCTCCTTGTTCCAATTGTGGGTTACTCAGCCCTCTGTAGACCACTTTTCATGCACTTCTATTTCCACTCACTGATTCATTTGCCCCGCTACAGTTGCTTCTTCCAATGAAATGAAGACCTAACTAGCAAAAGTTTATCATACTTTATATCGAATTTAAAGGCAGCAACACAACAACTTGTGCAGAGCTTTTGAATAGAGATTATGTAAGTAGCATTGCTTATTTTGTCCCTAAAGTAAGTTACTGCCCTTTGCAGCTTGATTATAGTTCATGATCATCTTCTTACGTAGCTGGGTTGGATGTTTACTTTGGATGGAATTAGCCAAAATATCATTTTAGAACAATAAAAACAACTTCCTAAATCAAGAAATCTCACGAAAACCTATAAAAACCACTTCTCAAAAGTTCTAACTAGAACCAATCCTTTGGATGAATCAAACCCTCATACTTTCAATATAAAAATAAGAATGTTTTAAGCTCTCAATCATAAGTTGGAACGCCCGGCAACTTGCAAGGTTCAACGACTGTACTAACACGAGAATTTTCAATGTGTTTTGTCCTCACTTGCACACTTCTCGGAAAAACTTCTCAGGAGGTCACCCATCCCAGAATTGCCTCAAGTCAAGTACGCTTAACTATGGAGTTCTTCCGTTCCGGGCTACCGAAAAGTAGATGCATCTTGTTTGTATAGGTAGTACCAATTAATTCTTATAAGTTATTATCAACTGTACCGTCCCATACCAGCACAGTCTCTGGAATCCCTCTCTTTCGGGTGTTGATTCGATATTCATGTACCCCGTCGCTGGAAGCCTGCCAGGAGCTGCTCCTTGTCCATGCCCTTTCACATCAGCGATCACTCCCCACCCTCATCATTGCCCGGGATGTTACATAAGTTATAGAGACAAAAAGTAACCTCAAAATTATAAAGGAATATTTTCAAAATCAATTAACTTAAAATAAAGCATAGAGAACTCAAGAACCAAAGGGATTTAGAGTTCACCATCACCTAGAAGATTTGAGAAGGATTCCGAATCTAACTTTTGGATGTTAACTTTATATATATATATTTCTGATATACATTATAACTTCTAAAAAAAGTAAAAATCGAAAGTCAAATAATTTATTTCAAAATTTACATTTGTTCCAACCCTGACCCTACAATCATTATGCCACTGCCACCTTTATCATCGTTGTCACTTGTCACTCTCACGGGCACGGCCACCAAATCTTCTCCATGATGATGACGATTGCGTTATTATTATTATTGTTATTATTTTTGGTAGACAATGACATTATTATTATTATTATTATTATTATTATTATTATATCCCATCCTCAAATTCATTTCTATAATTTGTTTTTACATATATATTTTTAATAATTTTATACATAATTTCTTTTTTTAATTTTAACATCCAAATAATTTTTTAGTTAAAAATGTTTGTCAAAACTATATCAAATTCTTCTAAAAACAATAATGCATAAAAAGTCTTTTTTTTTTAAACTCATCTAAACAACCCTGTAAAGAATAAAAAATGCAGGGCTGCTTGTCAGTCATTACTCAATTTTTAGCCTTTTTTTAACTTCAAATTAAAAGCTGTTCCACTCGTTAAAACAAAAAAGATTAATTGAATAAAAAAAGAATAATAACACTTATAGACAAGATTAAGCATTTTTTATTGAAGTAAACGTACCAAGGCAAATTTAAATCCTACCATAAGTATAACCTTCCCTCTTAATGCTACCTTAACTATAACCTTCCCTCTTAATGCTACCTTAACTATAACCTACCCTCTTCCTCGCTATGCCATGGCGCAGGCTTCTTTTGTTTATGTCCGTATATACACTTACAGTTTTAAATTTGTCTCTTCTAATTACTAAAGTTAGTGATGTTATGTAGAGAATTTGTCTCTTAAATTTTTTTAATTATATATGATAAGAAAAAAAATTCATTTCTCACGTAATTCTATAACGTAAATCCACTTTACTGCCAATGGAATTTGTTTTTCAAAATTAGTTAATACCATAAAAAAGATTGTTGGTTAATACGGTTTTTTAGACAATTTAAAATGAAATTATATTCTCTACCAAAATAAAATAAATTTATGCGGACATCATTTATTCAAATAAAATTCGAGTTTTGTAACAAAAAAAAATTGATTTTCTCTTTGAACCGGTGTCGTTGATGCCAAGGGATGTGCAAAAATATAAAATGAACCAAACTATATGGTGAATTGATCCGACTGGCACCAAAATAACCCCATTTTTTGAATCGGTTCAAGAATTGAATCATTTTTCTTCGAATCACATCAAGAACCGAACCAATTTTTCAAAATCAATTTGGTTCATGAACCTAAGCATTTTACCAATTCAGTTAAGTTTGAGCTAAAACCAAATCATTTTTAAGTGTGAGAAAAAACAAAATGAACCGAACTAAATCGCGAATTAAACTGAACAACGTCATATTTTTCCGAACCAATTTAAGAACTGAATTACTTTTTTTTCAAACAGGTTCAAGAACCAAATCAATTTTTGAAACCGGTTCGATTTACTCAAACCGAACCACTTTACCGATTCGGTTCTTTCGATGTAGAAAATCCAACCAAACTGGACAGTGCACACCTCTAGATGCCACTACGTGTAATAGCATAAATTAGAGTGGAGAGACTAGACTAGATCGCAGTCAACAACTTGTACCATTATTCCCTAGAACCAACAAATAAGTCTCAATGATTACAGTGTTTCTACAACGGCAGGAAAAAGTAACGTATTAGCAGCATAGAACGGCGGAGAAATTACCTATTTACCATTAACATATTCGAGAAGGTGCCGATCAAGCTCGAAATGTCGAGAAAGAAGTCCCTGCAGCTCATAATCCATAAGGTATGTTAAAATCTAAGTGAGAGATGCGACTAATGGAGCAATGCTCCAGTGTGCTTGAGTAATGAACAATCACACTGGAGTAATGAACAATCACAAGGCACTAGTAAGCAAATACCAAGTCCCTACAGTGTCCTGAACATTCTACCCAAAAGGCCAAAACAGAAGGACAAAAATTCAAATCACTCCACCCCATGCACGATGATATGATGAAGTGTAACGAAAAAAAGTTTTAAAATCAAAGGATACTTTGACCAGTTGGCCTTTATCTGACATTCAATGGATGTTCCAATCAATATTCAAAATAGCACCTCAAAAACAATCCTACTTACAACGGATACCTTTGTAATTGTAGGGTTGTGAAAGAATGTTGCTTCAAAATCCAACTCTGGAAAGCGGGCAACTTCAGCTGCATTCTCAAATAAGATAAACGTTGGAAGCTGACCCATGCTTCCTGACAATCACGAGGCTTCATATAAATTGCATATTCGCAATACAATAACTAAAGGAACCCAGAACAGTAAAACAGAAAGAAATTATTCTGAAAAGGAAATAAGAAAAACCAATCTCAAATGGCAATGCTATAGGTTAATATCAGTACCGCTAAGAGATATTCCAAAATTTTCAGCGGCATTGGGAAAGAGTCCAAGATCAACTATTCCAAATGATAAATTTTTGCTTGAATATCTGGCATAGAGACATGAATATACAGGCACTGTCAAAAGCTACTAGTCAAAAAATAAATTTTCAAGGAAATTTTGGTATATAAATTTTTTCACCACATTAGTAGACCTCCTACACATGCTATGTGTACAGTAAAGCAGTTTTCCTATTACAATTTTCTTGTTATTTCATGTGGTTTTAGTTTTTCCCAAGCAAAATAATGGAAGAATAATGAGATTGCATTGTATTTGAAGGTAATAACAGTTTTCCTATCACCCCACACTCGCTAGTCGGGTTTAATTGGGGAGTGGTTTTTTTTTCTTTTTAATTGTATTCGAAGGTAAACCTCAAAACTTAGAAGCCAACATACAGATTTTAAAGCAAGTTTGGCTTGTGTATTTTCCTATTTATATTTTCATTTAAAACAGAAAACAAATTTAAAAACATATTTGGTTAGGTTTTAATGAATGTCTTCCTTAGGAAACAATTCTTCAGATGGGGCCAAATTTTCAAAACAACAAATGGACATTTCCATCAATTCTGAAAACAGGAAGTTGAAAATGTAGTGGCAAGTGGCAACTTTCCACAGCAACCGAATATGTTTTCTACAATTTGAAATTATAAAAATGAAAATACAAAACAAAATAAGATGTTTCCTCGAACCAAACAAACTCTTAAGTCTTTGGACAACTTATTTTAAATCCAGTTGATTAAAGGCATAAAATCTATTCATATCAAGTGAGAAAGTACAAAAATCTGTATTTGTGCAGAGAACAGAAACTTTTGACTATTTTTCCCTTTTACTGAAGGGAGGGGGAATAGTTCAAGACCAAAGTCAAAGTAAGCATACGTAATTGAGAGCTCAGGAAAATGTTGACTCGAGCGAATGCATGCAGATGAATACGAAGCACAAAATTCCACCTGCCAACACATGGAAAGAAAGAAGAATGGATAAAATTCGGGGAAAAGGAAAGAGATCCAAAATAAATACTGACATGGCTACACTCATTAGACTTCTGATATTACTTTTTACTCTTTTTCAAAAGTGGTAGTTTCATGCATTACAGGTTTAAACATAGTCGACCAATTACAAATGGGGAAAAACAAGTAATTTCTCACCTACCACATTTTATTCTCATCAATTCCCCCAAACAATGCCAGAAAATAGCAGAGAGAGAATCTATAAAAAAAAATCTGTTAGATTATGCAAATATAGTTATTGTTCCCTAACAACCTTCTCCTTTTTCCCTGAGGCTATCATCATTGTACATTTATTGAACTAACACATTGCAGGACTTTAAAAGTGAAAGATTCAGTAAGGAAATCCATTCAACTCAGTACTCACCAGCCACAATCTTGTAGTGTTTCCCTCTGTCAGTAGGCTTTCCAACTGCAATGGTGTTAGCTTGCTAGAAGTACCTGGAAGAATTAATTAAATAGAAACAGAATTTTATCTGAAGATCAGATTATAAAATAATGAATTCTTGTAGTTCTCATGATACTTTCAATTATGAAGAAGCTTGTAAAATAATATATAACAAAGGCATAAAAGCAAATAAGACAAACCCAACTAACAGTACCTAGTCCTTGGAATGCAGGTTGTTGTGTTAGCATATGTATCACTGCAATACAGAGCATTATCATAAATATGCATATATATTAGTTAGAGTGGTTGAATCACATAGTCTGTAATTAACTTTCAGTAGAAATCCAACACCACAACTTGACTAAAATGGAATGCAAATAATCAGTTTTACACAGTTGAAAAACACATTTTTTATCTCATAGAGTGAAGAAAAGATACATCATATGTTGATTTTTATATAACAAAATAAAAGCATTTCCATGGTTGATGCCTACTTCTATTGCAGGAAAAAGAAACATCAACATCAACAACAATAACCCTTTTATCCTAAACTAGTAAGGATTGGGAGGAAAAAGAAACATGGCGTGAATAAAATTGCATTTTCTATACCTAAAATATATATCGCTTAAAAATCACAATATAAGATGAAACTACCCACCTAAAAATACAAGAATATACCAAACAGATAACCGGCGATCCATTGTAAAGGCAAGGGCAAAAAGACAAATCTGGAAATATTAAAATAAGATAGAAAAGATGAGAGTGCTGCATAGACAAAGAAAGAGATGAAGCCACAGGTAGCGTACAGACTGTAAGGGATGTAATACATGAAGCATATGCATTACTTGTTTCTCAAACAAAAGTACGCAGCTACTAATAAATGAAAGTAGGAAAATCATCATAATGCATGCTCCATAGTACAACAAAAGTGAAAAAGTGCAAGCCCCAATGTACAAGGCTCCCTAGCTTTGCAAGGGTAGGGGTGAAGGCTAATTGTACGTAGCCATACACTTATATTTTTGCAAAAAGGTTGTTTCCCATAGTCGAAACTGTGACTTCTCTATCACAAAGGAGCAACCTTACGTCCTTACTGCTACTCCACAGCTCAAAAGGCATCTAATTAGACTAAAGATATCATATCATGGTATATCTCAAATTCAAGTTCAGTTTAAAAAAATATATAGATTCAGAACCCTATCTTACTAATCATAAGAAACATACAAGGGGAAAGTGAATTATGAAAAGTAGGAAGCTGAAAAAGTTTCGCAAATGCATCAATGGTGATCACCTTGGCAAGGAAAAGTGCATCAGCTATAAAGGCTTCCCATGTTTCTTCTTTTGCTCCCTGTAACATGAAAAATGATAGAATTGAATACAATGCACACAAATGTCCAAGGTTGCTAGATTCAGTATGTGAAACAACAGTTGATGGATCATACCCACTAAAATCAACTAACTATTGAAACCCTTCACAGACAAAGCCCATAGAGAGTGGCTTACACGTGCAAGATAATGTAAACTGGAACCTCACTACCACATAAGATAAAACTAGACGTTTTTGAATTCAAGAATGTAGAAAGATTCTTTTTATTTCTTTAAATGGCAGTTAAAACCGTTTAACTTTGCACCATTCACATTTTACGCGCAAAACCACTTCCATCAAGCAAAAAGGCTAACAGAAATGTCACATGACTGGTCCACAGATACACTAATTTCAAGTAACTTTTCCACTTAATGAACTCTGGGTTTTTTTAACTTACTCATGGTATTATTGGAGATCAAAACAGTGATTAATGTTACTACGCACAACTAACATGACATTTCCATAAGCCTTTAAACTATTTACAAGACATAAGGTGCTTTGCGCAAAAAAAATTTAAAGTCCATCATTTGCACCTTTTCAAACCATAAGGTATAACGGCAAATCAAGCGTTAATGGTTACCGTTCCTACTTTCATTGAGCAAACTTATAGGAAGCTTTATTAAATTCATATACGAAAATGCAAATTTACTTTGTGAGCAGTAAAATCAAATATTAAAATTCGATCTGATTTCAATAGCAGGTACCTTGATGACTGCCAATACGGCGAACACTAACAGCGTTTGTATTTCCTGCATATGCATCAGAGATGGAACAAGTAAGCAATATGCAAAGAGTCAAATACGAGAGAGAGAGAGAGAGAGAGAGAGAGAGTTACGCGACGAAGGAGATTGTGAATGAGGTGAGGCGCTAAGACATGTGTTGCGGAGCTGCGAATGACGAAATAGGAGAAGAAGGTTAAGAAGTGGAAGAGATAGTAAGGTTCTGAAACCATCCGATTCAGCATCTGAAACACTCTGTTACTTTTACTCTCATTTCCCATCTCGCTCCTTTCTTGTTCGCTCAGATCTGAATATACAATTTACATGCTCGTGAAGCTATGCTATATTCATGCTATTCCTTCCTTTCGAATTTCGATACAATGGTTGGTTGCTTTGCTAACCAAAATTCTTCTCGTCTCACCAAATCCTTATTGCTTTTGGGCTACCACGATGGAGATGCAGATTCGAAGAACAGGGTCCACGAAGTATATTATGGGCCTACTTTCCATGTTAGTTTCGTGTAGACTGGCCCAAGGAGGCTTTCTTTTTTCTTTTTCTTTTTTTGTGTTGGTTGTTTGGGCAATAGCCCAAAACAACATAAAGCAAACTATAAATTACGGATATATTTGATTGTGTTTTCATTTTTTCTTCTTAAAATTATTTTGTAAAAGAAAAAAAAAAAGTATATAATGTTACTGTAGTCAATTTTGTCTGATGTTCATCTAAACGATATCGTTTTAGGGTTGAAAAATTAAAAAACTAGAATGATAAATATTATTATAACCCTAAAATAAATTAAAATTAAAAATACATCATGATTTTCGTCCCAAAACAACATCGTTTAGATGAACATTAGGCAAAGTTTTCTAAAATAACTTTAGAAAAAATGAACAATCTGTAAAATAGTTATGAAAATAATTGTTTTTTTAGTTTTAAAATTTAAAAAGTCAAAACAGAAAACAAAAATAACTCAAGTGTATTCTTTAAATTTCTTTAAATTTGATTCTAGCAACCAAAACAACAGTTACAATTTTTAAAACTTTTTTTACAAACCATATCAAACAGCTTTTTTGTTTTTTGGTTCTGAAAACCAAAAAACTGTTTTTAAAAACTAGTATTCAAACAGGACTGTAATTGTTTGGTGGACTCCGTGTAATTTGTCTAGTCACTTTGCCAAAAGTCACATGGCTCAAGTTCCTCGTTTTATACATTCCAATACTTCATTAACCATGCAATCCACTTGCCATTTGCATTGTTCCAAACTAGGTATTCGTTTCCCATGAGTCAAATCATTCCTTCATCTCCAAGCTATCCAACAAGTAATATTAAAGATTAAAGAACGTTGTCCTCCATGGCTTGTTATCGACCTGGTCATTCCCATGTGTATCATGTTATAGAAGACAGTGGGTGATATTATATCACTAAAAGCGTTGAACCCATGTATAGAAGCAGAGGAGGAAGATGATCAGAATTATCACTGTGCAATTATAAATATTAGATTAAAGAACAGACTTACTTGTCAGTGGCAGAATGATGAAACAGACAAAATGAAAGGAATGAAAAATGCAGTATCAGAGGAATAAAATCTGAGCCCACAGAACGTGTCTCCTTAAGACAATTTGCCCCCTCACTGATGCCCAAGGTTGATGGACACTTGTCTCCCAGGATAGAACGGATTTCGTCTGAAGAATGGTGGCACTATCAATCAACAGCTCAAACGAACACAACAATATGTCAGAGGAAGTCACACCGGAGTATGAAAAGGAATATGCAAAACCGGAAGGAGAAAAATTCCAGCAGAGTTTCAGTGCAGAAAATTGGATACATTTTATGAAGGTGTCAGTGTCTATTTATAGACACTGACCGGTCACGTTTCAAAAGGCACCTATTCGACGACGAAACAACACATCAGTTGGACACGAAAAGACACATTCGTTCCACACGAAAAGGCACCCATTCAAGGATGAAACAACATGTCTGTTAGGATGAAACAACACATCCGTTCAAATGAAACAACACATCCGTTCAGATGAAACAACACATCCTTTAGGATGAAAAGATACATCTGTTTGTCGACGAAAAGACACACCCTTTCATTACCAAACTTCTTATTCATAACCAATAGAGTGTCTACACAATTTATATATATATATATATATATATATATATATATATAAATTCCAACAATCCCCCACATGGATAAGAAGTCAAATCATCGTGACAAAAATGCATAAGAATATAAATGCAAAGTGTAATTTCCTCAACGAGAAACAACTGCATCGAGATAGGTGGAGTTACCTTTGAACCTTCTCTAGTGGAAACCTATCGGATATACTCGGTCAATCAATGGTCTAGGTCGACTTGAACCGTCAACCTTTAGTATATACCTAGACAATAGGAGTCACACAATTGCTTCTCTAGCATTGTTGGTCCTTTGTTGCGCCCATTTTAGCCGTGGGACACCTGTCTGGTTCTGCGAGTGTTTTTAGAGAATCGGCCTTTGAAAAATTCTCATAGGAGCGGCCCTCACTTCATACTCACATAGGTGATTTCTTGTGATGTAAATCACTTCTACATCATCTGAACACAGCAGATTAAGAAATCATTAAAAGCCTAAGTGCTTACCCTCATAAATACATTGTCTTGTCTTAGGAATATTTATGAGTTTAAAAACTCCACATTGTTTAAACAGTCGACCATCACTTAGTTGTCTCTTTGAACCTAGTTCATGGGATCTCCACTCTTCTAGGTAGAGTTACCGCAATGCTCAACAATTGATAGGCCTTAAACCCATTCCTTTCGACAAATTTTCAACCAACCCTCTAGGAATCCCTTTGGTTAAGGGATCCGCTATGTTTTCCTTAGACTTAACATAGTCAATTGAAATGATTCCATTCGAGAGTAGTTGTCTTACGGTATCATGTCTACGACGTATGTGTCTAGACTTATCGTTATACATGACGTTCTTGGCCCTTCCAATAGCTGCTTGGCTATCACAATGTATGCATACAGATGGTACCGGTCTTGGCCAATTAGGAACATCCTCAATAAAATTACGAAGCCATTCGGCTTCTTCACCGGCCTTATCTAAAAGCAATAAATTCTGCTTCCATGGTTGACCTTGCAATGCAGGTTTGCTTGGACGATTTCCAAGACACAACACCTCCACCAAGGGTGAACACATATCCACTTGTGGATCTAGTGTCGTTAGAGCCGGTGATCCAATTTGCATCACAATACCCCTTCTATAACCGCAGGGTATTTCTCGTAATGCAAAGCATAATTCTGAGTATACTTCAAGTATCCCAAAACTCTTACCATAGCTTTCCAATGATTCTCATTTGGATTACTGGTAAAGCGACTTAACAGACTTACTGCATAAGCAATATCAGGTCTAGTGCAGTTCATAACATACATAAGGCTTCCCAACACTTGAGCATATAGCTTTTGTGCTGTAGCTTTACCAGTGTTCTTTAATAAACTCATATTAGAATCTACAGGGTTCCTCACAGGAGTTATTTTCAAACTCTTGAATTTCTCAAGAACCTTAGCTACATAGTGAGCCTGTGATAAGGCCAACCCTGTAGATGTTCTACGGATTTTGATACCTAGGATAACGTCTGCTATCCCCATATCTTTCATATCAAACTTACTTTTAAGTAATTGTTTAGTAGCATTAATCATTTGATTATTACTACCCATGATTAACATGTCGTCTACATAAAGACAGACAATGGAAAATCCTTTTTCAGTATTTCGAACATAGACACATTTGTCACACTCATTGATTCGAAATCCATTTGATAACATAACATTGTCAAATTTCGCATGCCATTGCTTTGGAGCTTGCTTTAATCCGTAAAGGGATTTTATTAAGCAACAAACTTTCCGTTCTAGTCCTGGAACAACGAAACCTTCAGGTTGTTCTAAATATATCTCTTCTTCTAGGTCGTCGTTTAAGAAGGCGGTCTTAACATCCATTTGATGTATTTCTAATCCATTCAATGCAGCTACCGTGATCAACATCCTAATGGATGTGATCCTTGTAACATGTGAATATGTATCGAAATAGTCGAGACCTTCACGTTGCCTGTAGCCTTTTACCACAAGCCTAGCTTTATATTTATCAATAGTGCCATTTTCTTTCATTTTTCTTTTGAACACCCACTTACTTCCTTAAAGGCTTATTACCAGGAGGAAGGTTTATCAATTCCCAGGTGTGGTTGGACAGGATAGACTCTATCTCACTATTGATAGCCTCTTCCCAGAATGGTCCTTCCGGGGACGATATAACTTCCTCATACGTCCGAGGCTCATTTTCTAGTAAATATATCATAAAATTAGGTCCAGAGGATGTTGCTGTCCTTTTCCTCTTGCTACGTCGAGGTTCATCTTCTACATCCTCTACAGAACCAGTATTAGTTGTAGCATCCCAAGGTATCATAATGTGGTCATCATTATTACCACTTGATTCATGTACTTTATTATACGGAAATACGTCTTCAAAGAAAGTAACTTCCCTTGACTCAATAACCGTATTAACGTGTATATCTGAAACATCATATTTATAAACTAGAAACCGATAAGCACTACTATTCAGTGCATAACCAATGAATACACAATCCACGGTTTTAGGTCCGATTTTCAACCTTTTAGGTTTAGGAACCGCAACCTTAGCCAAGCACCCCCACACTCTAAAGTATTTCAGGGATGGCTTCTTTCTTTTCCATATATCGTATGGTATGCTCTTTGTCAAACACCCCCACATTTCAAGATAATTCAAGGTAGGCTCCCTACCTTTCCATATTACATAGGGGATGTTCTTAATTTTCTTGTGGGGTACTTTACTGATTATATAATTTGTCATTAAATGACTTTCCCCCATAAACCAGACATCAACAACATCATTTTATTTAATATCTGGTTCTTTATACGCAATCACATTAAATTGCAGCACCATAAGGAGCAATCGTTTGATATATATTACCAAACTCTAAACAAAATTCCTCAAAAAGGACATCATTTCTCTCAACAATCCCATTGGATTGTGGAGCATAAGGAGCCATCGTTTTGTGTAAAGTTTCAAACTCTAAACAAATTTCTCAAAGGGTCATCATAATCTCCCCCTCGATTGCTCCTTAATACCTTTAAACTTTCGAATTAACATTATTCGACTATAACACATATATCGAATAATAAATTTCAATTTAACCTTTAAAATGATACACAATCATCACATCATTTATGATATTTGAAATAAAGCATATAATTTGGAATTAAATCAACTCAAATATTTGACCACTTTGGTCATCAAGAAATTTATCATACTTTAATTCCAAAATGCAAATATTTTGCAAACACACAAAATT